TGCGTTGTTTCGACAGTACACGCACATTTAATCTTACGTGATCATACTGTACATAGAACAGAGAAATGATGGTCGGAACTTGGAAGTTGGAAGTTAGCAGTAAATTGAGGCGGCAATGCATAGTGCACTGGACGCCAGTAGTTTCGAGTGGAAGTACAAGTGCGGTTCACTCGCTGACAGAGTGACTGACATAATCACAGCATCATCATTGTGGCATGCAAAACAAAGCACAAAAAACACTTGTCTCGCAAAGCAAAAGCTGATCAAGAGAAACTTCTATCGACACAAAGTTAAGGCCGCCTCGCATGCATGCTGGAAATCTGATCATCTCTGCCATGGTTCGTTGATCACTTTGCCAAAGAGCTTTGCGTGGTAATTAATCTGAACGGAATGCCACTTTGTTCTCCCCCCTTCCACTTTCGCCATGTGACGAGAGATACACACAGCACAACACGGCCTCGCGTAGAGCTATAGCTAGCTTTGGGGAGACGCAGAGCAGGGCACGGTGGCCTCTGTCCTTGCACGTCGCCGCGGACACGGACACAGTGGCTTCACACAACTTTTCTCTGTTTCGCCCTTTTCGCGCAGAGAAAAACAAGCAGCCCAACGCATTCGGACAGGGACTAATCCGAGACCCCGTCGCCGTACGTGCCGCAGGCCCACGCAAATAATTCGCCGCGACAAAAGCACAAATCTCTCTCAAAGCGTTTAACGTGTCGTTAGCTTTGCCCTTTGATTAGTGCACGTACTCTACGCAGTACGCACGCGTGAAGCTTTGTGCGCGCCGTGCCGGCCGCGCGCCCGCGCCCACCGCGCTCCCGCAACCGGGCAGCTTAGCCAGCGAGCCATCCTTGGAATCCGACGTGATTGCCAACCGGCAACCGCGCCTGCGGCCGCAATCGGCCGCGGGGGTAGCGCGCGGTGCGGGGAGACGACACCACGGCTCACGACAAGGCGAGGCTTTTTTTCCGCGCAGGTTTTCGCCGGGCGCGCACCGCGAAATGTCAGGCCATATGCAGCGATACAGGCGGGGGCTGATGGCCCAGCGGCAGCGAGCGAGGCGTGGACCATGGACCACGCCGCGGGAGCAATCTCGGTCGACTTGAGCCGAGCTTAGTTCTAAATTTTTTTTTAAAACTTTCAACTTTTTCATCACATCAAAATTTTTCTACACACATAAACTTTTAACTTTTCCGTCACATCATTTCAATTCTAACCAAACTTTCAATTTTTTTTCTTTCTCGAGTACTAGCTACTTAGCTAGCTCACACCATCTCAATAATTCTAGCCAGCTCCGAGTATTACACTTACATGGCGAATGATGGCGGCGAGAGTATACATTTCCGTTGGAACCAAAGGTAGACAATGGCTGTGTTTAGATTCAAAGTTTGGATCTAAACTTCAGTCCTTTTTCATCACATCAATCTGTCATACACATACAACTTTTCAGTCACATCATCTTTAATTTCAATCAAAATCTAAACTTTGCGTTGAACTAAACACAGCCAAAGTGCAGTTTAGTGAGTACAGAAGCAGACTAGCAGTATATACTCGAAGACGACAACATCAGCTATTCAGCTGCCTTTGCTGAAACGCTGCCGTTCATGATGCTGCTAGAGACGTTGATGACACTACTACCATCCAAAATTTACCGTTACGCTTAACCTCACCGTATAGTATACTCCTACTGCTACTCTGTGTTATCAACGTCAAGAAGAAAACACGCGCGACTTTCGCGTGCTGCTGATACTGGCTCACGTACTTGCACCGTTGTCCCCTCCCTTTCATGGACAGCTTCGGCACCGGCCTCATCACAGTGATATTCAATGTGCATTCGTACATAAGTAACGAAAAGGAACTATAGACCTCTCCTAATTCCGTCGACTTGTTCGATCGAAATGAAACACCATCAACACAAAGGAACGGTCGACGGGGCCAGGTGTCACCAGATTAGGCGATCCGAGGGCTGCAAACGGTGGGGCCTTGCTTAGTGCTTACACTGATCGTGCTACCTGGCCCGCAGGAAGATAAAAAGGTCACAGGCTTTTTCTTCCAAAAAAAGGGACGCCATCATTTAGCCAGAGTGGTACACTCGATCGGGGCGTAATTATGCAGGTTTTCTCAGCTTCTGTTTAAGCTTGGGGTCTCTGAACTACTAATACACACAGGATACAACAATTTGTCACCTGTTTACTGACAGCTCGGAACAAATTAGAGATTTGAGAACGGTTTGTGTTAGATTAAAGAAGGGGCTGTGGTACGATACTGCGGGTTGCGTGCTAGCTAATATTTGGCTCTTTTCTGCCAAGATTCGGAAAGAACAAAAACACAAGCGTATCAATAGGTTAATGCCATCACGTGGGGATCTGGAATAGGAACAAATCGAGGAGATGCGATTTGCAATTCGTCAAGAGTAATTCGTCGTACGAATGTCATTAAGGGCATTCCCAACCCAATGACATAAATAAGCTGCCACCTAGGATAAAAAATAATGTGGCAAATGAATAAATGAGGAAAGAGAAGAAAACCATGTCTTATACGAGACATGGTATAAGACATGGTTTCTACACAACATCCAAGACATTATGTGAGATAAGTAGCATTAAATTTAAATATGGAATAGTAGTGTTTGTATTGGAAGAGTAGTGTCTAGTTTCTTGATGATGTGGAGTTTATAAAAACTATGTTTAGTGTCTTGGGTTCGGAATGCCCAACAGAAGAGATCATGAGCCGAGATGAGACCAAATGCAGGCTGCTGTTGCTGCGGCTCTGTTCCAACATCCAACCAATCCAACATTTGCTATTGATACTTGATAGGTGATGCTAGCTCCTGACGATGGATACAGACATAGTACAGATACAGTACACATAGTAGTAGTGATACTAGTGTAGTACTAGCACGTTCCTCGGCATTTTCATAGTCAAACAAATGTCCCAGAAAGTACCGCTGTGTCTACATTCATCTGCAGTAGTAGTGGCTAGTAATTGTACTTAGGTACGAACACATCCATAATTTTACCTGTGCCCATTTCTGGAACCATACGAGACCCAGTCGTTGGCGCCGTAACCACGAAGTTAACTGCAGTGCCAGTATCGTAGAAGACGGTTCATCATTAACTGCCACACTGCAATTAAGTTCTCGGGTACTTCAACAAACATAAATTCGGCTCTAAATTCGCTAATTAACTAGATATGGATCGACTCACAACAGCTTCGATCTTACTCTACGTGATTACATCTGACCCCTGTCTCAAAGTCATCACCTCATCGGCGCCATTGCTCCGCCGGTTAACTCGTCCTCGCCATTGTCGGCGCGCGCGTCGCCGGCGGGCGTCGTCCTCCGGCCGGTGTCAGCGTCGCCACCATCGCCGGCTGCATGCACGTACCGATCGATTTCTAGCTGGGCCAAGTGTTGCAGGTCACGTGAACAAAGGGCTCATCTCCATCTCCATATGCTGTCGATCCAAGCTGGCCCTGGGAAAGGGGAGAGGGCGACAGAGGCGGCCGGATCGGACGGATTGCTTGCGGTCTCCGCGATCGCCATGTGCCTGCGTGCATGCCGCCTTCTCCTCTCATCACCACCTCCCAATCCTATTCCTGCCTTATTAGACTTATTACCTTGCTCGCTCTTTCCTTTGCCGCAGCGGCCGTACCAATTATGTGGCGTACGTGCACGCGTGCGTGCCAGTATATATTTCCTACCCGTTTCACTTTTTTTTCTCTCTTCACTTCTCGCAGCTCTTTCCGCGACGAAAGATGTACGAGTACGTGTGTAGCAATTCCGAGATGAGGAAAGCGTCACAATTGTCCGGGGAAAACTTTACAAACGCAGCCAAGCAACCGAACAGGTGACACTGTTGGTCTACTCGCTTCCTTGTCCAGTGAACAGTCACAACCGTTGGCGCCACTCGCGTGTATTTTGGGCGCAACGATGGCTGGTCGATGTTTCGTACTACGTCTACGTGGTAACAGTCGAATCGATCGAACACGGCTATACGAGTGAAACGAGCGACAGCCGCCGAAGTGGGTCAGCGACGTGCATGTGTGTATCGATCCGGCGACGAAAGCTGGAAAGCGAAAGCCAACCCCGCGGGCCGGGCGAGCGAGCGGAGCACCACGCCCGCGGCATCATTCGGCTGCTTCGTGGGCCCCGGCGGCCGCGTCGTCGACCGCTGCGTGCTGGCCCACCTGGGCGCCTGGGCCCAAGGCGGGAGAAAAGGAAGGAAGGCTCCTTGGCCCATCCGCGAGTCGTACGGCGACGCAGCTTCGCGAACGTTGATGTCTCTGGCCGCGTGGGACCCATCGTACGGTCGGTCCACATGTCAGTGGCGGCTAGCGTATGGGGGGACGGGTAGCCAGCTTCCACCGCGTCGCGACGCTCCGCCCGCACGGCCGAACCGGAGGGTGACTCACTCGGTTAGCCATTTACTAGTACGGTACGGGTACTCTACGTTAATTTGTAGGAGTACTTTATATTCACATAAATCTCCAATGAAAAGCAGGAGTAATTAATTACAGATCGTATACTCGCCACAACGTTGCACACCAAGAACAAAAGTGGAATGCTCATGTGATCATGGAACAATGAAAGGGTTATATGCACAAGCGATGGATACTTAACCAAGCCCCTGTTTAGTTTGTGTGCAAATTTTTTTTTAAATATACGGTCACATATTTGAAGAATTAAACGTAAACTAATAACAAAACAAATTACATATTCCACCTGTAAATTGCGAGACGAATTTATTAAGCTGTAGCATAATATTGTTAAATCATATCGTAATTAGGCTCAAAAGATTCGTCTCATAAGTTATATGCAAGCTGTGCAATTAGTATTTTTTTATTTAAATATTTGATATGACAGAATCTTTAGAAGTTCGAAGAGAATAAACACTGCCCAACTCGAACGGATTCACCGTGACACAACGGTGCGTAACAAAGTTAAATCCGGTTGAGTCGATGAGTTCCCGTCTCGTATATAACACGGCACCGCAAACCAGTACAAGAGCGAGCAGCGCGCGGATTGCCAGTTTCCCACCGGCGAGGGGAGAGCCCCCGACTCGACCGCCCACGCATCGCCATCACCGACGCCACCGCCACCGCCGCAATTCCGTTTCCCCCGCACCACCGCACGCTTCCCATCCGAACGCAATCTGAAGCGCCATCCCCAAGACCCCAACCGAATTCACTTGCAGCTGCTGCTCGTGTCAGCTGCGGCGGTGGCTGGACCCCCCCCCCCCCCCCCCCCCCAAAAACGCGCTCGCGCTTCCCTGCCGTCCAAGGACGCCACACACGGCGCGGAGCTCGCGGCGAGACCTTTAATGGCGGCGGTGTCTCCTCGCGGTGCGTAGGGCCGCCCGCCCGCCCGCCGCAGCCGCCGAGCATTTTAAGTATCCTGTCTCTGTCTCCTCGCTTGCTGTCTTGCTGATTGATATGCATACGGCGCCGGAGATGAATGGCCGGGCTCGGAGGCCGGCGGCGGCGGCGCACGGCGCCAAGGCGGCCTCCACGAAGAGCGACAGAGTATGCTTCTCAATCTGGCAAAAACCTCTCTCGTTTCTCCGTGTGCTCTGTTCTCCCTTCTTTTATGGCCAATGTGCGGTTATTTTCGGTTCCCGCGATGGATTATTGAGGCGTCCTCGGTCGCCGGCGCTCGCGGGATCGGAAGGCGGCGCCTTTGCCGCCTACTTGAGGCCAGCTGTTCGAACTCGGTGCTTGATAGTTTTTTTTTTCTTTTTAACTCTCGTTTTTGGTTCCCAAGGTGTGAAATTCTGTGCGCCTATTTTGTTGTTTTGCATTGGTGGCGTAATGTGGTTGTTAGTGATTTGTTGCACCGTCGATGTGTTTCCTGTAGTACGACGGATTATTAAATGTTGTTGGGAAGAATACAAGGACGAACAGTGCTGTTTTGATGTTCTTGCGAGCTACGTTTTGGTTGGTGGTGTAGCGTGAGAAGATCTCGCCACTGACTCGCGGGCGTCAGTTAGCTTTCGAGAGCTACTCCGATAGGGTATCTCTTGATTGCTCTTGAGCCCGCATTTCTTCCCCTTCTTTAAATCAGCCGCTTTATCTCTTTATCTTTCGGAGAAGAGGAATCTGTTGCTTTGCTTTGCTTCGGTTAGCTTCTTTCACAGCTAAACAACGCCTTCTTTTTCCTCTTTTGATGATGATACTGTTGTTTTACGTGTTCAGATGATGGAGAAGGATCAGAGGAAGGGCGCCATGCCGGTGAAGAAGGGATCATCGGCCAACGCGGTCACCAAAGGCATCACGAACAGAATCCAAGCGAGGAGAGAGCGGAAGCTCGCACTGCAGCAAGATGTACTACCTGAATTCTGTCCCAAATTCTCGCAATTTGAGAAGCGCATTGGTTCGTCCGAGTTGTGTTTTGTGACGCAATTCGCTGCCTGGATTTTACAGGTGGACAAGCTGAAGAAGAAGCTGAGGCACGAGGAGAACGTCCACCGAGCCCTCGAGAGGGCGTTCACGAGGCCGCTCGGCGCTCTGCCTCGCCTGCCGCCGTATCTGCCATCTCAAGTCAGTGCCACATTTGCATTCGCATTTGCATCAAACGAAACGCATTGTTCTTGCTCTGCTTGGGACAATTCGGCTCTGAATTCTGAACATGTTCCTGCTCTGAATTCTGCGATGTGCGAAGACACTGGCGCTTCTCGCGGAGGTGGCGGTGCTGGAAGAAGAGGTCGTCAGGCTCGAGGAGCAGGTGGTCAATTTCCGGCAAGGACTCTACCAGGAGGCCATAATCTTCTCCTCGGCCAAGAACACGAGCCTCCCCGGCGGCGAGGGATGCGTGCCGGCGCAGCTCATGCCGTCGAGCCCGGTGCCGAACTCAGAGGTCTCTCCGGCAAATTGTCATTCTCCTCCTACTCGACCTTCAATGAACGGGGTCGCCGGTGCAAAGCAAACGCCGAGAAAGCCTTCTCCTTCGGCGGCGGTGGCGCAAGACGACCGCTCCGGCGCCGGGAAAGAGAACCAGTCGTGCAGTAACACACCGGCTAGAAATTGTCGCCATTCGCCGCTGCTGCAGAAGGCATCAAAATCCAGACTGCCGACAGCAGCAGCGCCTGAGAAACGCAGGGCTACTGCTCAGGTAAAAACAGTAGTAATAAGATCCTTATTGCTGCTGAATGGTATTTATTTACACATTTTTCTACCATGAACTAACTTCTTCTGAACCGTACTGCTGCTGCATTTTTTTTTATCACACAGACGATTAGCACAGTGCCGGACCGTAAAAGGCTCGCAGACACTGTCAGCAATAATTCAGAAAAAGCTTCCCAAGATGACTCGAGCGTGCCGAACAGATTGTCGGAGGAACTGTTGAGATGCCTGCTCGCCATCTTCTCGCAGATGGGCGGTTCATCAGCAAGCGGCCAAGACGAGGAGCAGGCGGCATTGTCTCCTTCGGTTTCAGGTTCTTGCGAGAGCTCAGAGGACGCATACCCTCAAGATCCTTATGGCATACTGGAATTCGGCACAAGAGACGTTGGGTCATACAAGCGATTCCATGTAATCGACGCCACCTCGTTCGATCAGACGGCCATGGAGAACGACACCATGCTTACCCGGAAACTCAAGTGCGTTCTTGCTAGTGCAATTTTCCGTTCAGTTATTACAAGCTCGGTTTGGTTGTCTGTCGAGTAGGTGGCCGCCTGACATAATTAGCATCGCTGATAGAGGTGGTTCATGTCTACCTGGCAAAATCTGCAGGGCTTTGATCCGGAGGCTTTCATCGGTTGACCTGACGGGGCTCTCCCATCAGCAGAAGCTGGCATTCTGGATCAACATCTACAATTCGTGCATGATGAATGTAAGCTGTCAGCCTGTCACTCATAATTGAGCCCACCCATCCTGAATTTCTTCATCTTGATCAATTATATCTTTGTTCATTTTCTCGTTAGAGGGAAATTTCCATTTCGGTGATAGTTACCTCCTTCGTTATCAATGTTTGCCTCCGATAGAATGACAGAAGAACTACTGTATGCTGGAATATTTCGGGAGGTTAATTACTTACTACCGCATTGCATATTACTAGTACTATATGGTACAGCCAGTACAACATTACAGCATGGGCGTGGTTCTGACGAGTACGTTCTTTAACCATGAACTCTGAACATAGTGCTGGCATGTCTGTGTACTGTTCTCTTCAGTCATTTAGTTTTGCTTAAAGAAATGCTTCCTGTCCCCATGACCATAAACAAAGGCTTTAACTAACACTGATCACCATCATCATCGCTTTGGCATTATTATCCTTAGGCCTAACTATCTCATGCCATCTGCGATACGGCCTAGGAAAGGGTAGTTAAGGTAGGTAGATGTAGTAGTGTAGTGTCATGCCTAGTGCCTCATACTTGTCCCTAACACTTGTCTTCCTTGTCGTACTGCAGGCATTTCTCGAGCAAGGGATACCTACCACCCCTCATATGCTCGTGGCAATGATGCCGAAGGTATAGCACTAAGTAACTTCTTGCAAGCAGCACAAATCATGATGCGCCGGTGATTAACGAAGTAATCAAGTCTCTGACGAGAGAGTGATCTCCGTGTTTCGCTCTCTGTTTTCAGGCGACAATAAATGTGGGTGGGCGCACGCACAGCGCCATGTCGATCGAGCATTTCATCCTGCGGCTGCCCTACAGCGTGAAGCATGTAAGGCGTTACAGTATAGTTTTGTCATGGTGGATACGGCCATCGTAGTGATCCGGGTAGATTGGTGTTCCGGTTGCACAGCACCACACGCTAAAACTAACAACCTATATATGGCTCGTGAATGAACAGGTGAATCCTGGTGGAGTGACCAAGGGCGCCGCCGACGACGTGACGATGCGAGGCGTGTTCGGGCTGGAGTGGCCTGAGCCCCTGGTCACCTTCGCGCTCTCCTGCGGCAGCTGGTCCTCCCCTGCTGTAAGATCTCCATGATTCCGTCAGATTTTTGCAGCATTACAGCATGTAAAAATTCCGTGTAGTTTGTGATGAGGTGTTGTGTGATTGTGTCTTGTTCTTGGTCATGTTTTTTTTTTCAGGTGAGGGTGTACACGGCGCGGGGAGTGGAGGAGGAGCTGGAGGCGGCGAAGAGGGACTACCTGCAGTCGGCGGTGGTGGTGTCGGCGCCGGCGAAGGTGGCGATCCCGAAGCTGCTGCACTGGTACCTCCTCGACTTCGCCAAGGACGTGGACTCCCTCATGGACTGGGTGTGCCTCCAGCTGCCGAGCGAGCTGCGGCAGAAGGCGATGAGGATCGTGGAGGACGGCAGAAGGGGTGTCGCCGCCGAGTCGCGCCGCGTGCAGGTCCTGCCGTACGAATTCAGATTCAGGTACCTGCTGGCCTCATGAAGAGAGGCCAGTGAGTAGCAGCAATCAGCGAGTGAATTCGAGGGTGTTTTACTGCACCTTGTACACAGGCTTCCAATAATTGTGAGTTTTGTTCTTCGGTGATGTGAATGAATGAAAGGAAGTATAAAAGGTGTTTCCACCAGACCACGACTACTCCAGTCGAGATCGAGTACCGGTCGCTTCTTCTTTCCCTTCCTTTTCGTGCTTGGAAGAGATGGTACTCCAGTACTACTACTCAGCTTCTGTACACAGGCCTGTCAGACTTGTTGCTAAAAAAGCGAAAGGCGCCATGGCATGCTGTCCTGTCAGCAGTCACAGTGATTAACCTGACCCTGCAGCTTTTCCCTGCTGCGTGTTTCAGCCCTGATGATTGGGACCAACGGTAGAATCTACAGTACGACCGAGACAAGCTACAGGATCACCGTGGTCGTTGAAAATACTGTACGTGTCACTAGCTTACCGCCACCGACGGGATAATCACACGGTTTCACCGCCATTAAACGACAGGGAGGGAAGCTAGCTGGCGTTGGAGTAAACTCAGGCCGTGTTTAGTTCACCCCAACTACCCCAAACTTCAAACTTTCCATCACATCATATCACATCTAAAATTTTTCTACACACATAAACTTCCAACTTGTTTTTTAAAATTCCTAATTTTCTCCAAACTTTCAACTTTTTCCAAGAATAAACACACCCTCAGGTAAGATCCCTGGGGACCCTACACAGCCTCGTGTCGTATGAGTAGTAGTACGACCTGTGCCGTAGGTTTATATACTCCTAAAAACGGACAGGGTGGCTGGCGTCCTTGAAGGACAGGCAGGGTGTGTCACGAAGCTGCTGCATCTCATGGCCTCCGTGCCCACTCGCTGCTCACCTCCCAATTTCCCAAACGATCCACCCATCGTTGAATCCACTGCACGGCACGGGACAAAACACCGGTACGTGCCGTGCGAGTGTCGCGTCGCGTCATATATCGCAGCTTCTGTTGGAGTAAAGCGCGGTGCCTTGTACTGTCGCGTCGGAGCAGCCACGGTTGTTTGGCGTACGTACCCGCGGTGGTGTCTCGTCTGTACATATGGCCCTCCGAGAGTCCGAGGCGCCGCGTGGCGCGGGGATTTTGCCACGCTTGGGATTGCTCTCATGGCGGGTGCACCTGCTGTTCTGCCACTGTCATATCAGTAGTCCCCGAGGGCCGGGCTAGACTGATCAGCGGCGTGCAGCGCCGCTCTTTTCTCTTTGGGAGGAGGGAAAGGGGGCCGCGGGGCGGGTTTATGGGATCGTGTGAATCCTGTAGTGATTGAATCATGGAAGGACGGATCGATGGGGTCTCCTTCGAAGAGCTGAGGAGGGAGCAATGCAATCAGATGAGATTGCGTGGCTTTTTGTAGAGGGTAAGTGCTACTTGCTGGAGTAGGTAAAAAAAGAGGATTTGAAGGGACACACGACCCCGAGTGTGTTGGGGATTAAGCGCCTATTAAGATTTAGTTAAAATAAACATTACCAAGTTTTGGTAATACTAAAATTTTGACAAGATTTTTTTATGTATTGGCCAAATTTGGTAACAAACTAAACGTTGATATTTTTTTACAACATTTAAAAAAAATGGTATGGTTCAAAATTGCATCAAAGTGAACAGGCCCTAAATATAGAATCTTGTGTTGAACTACACATCCCTTGTTACTGTCCTATCGAGTATATCTTAAGTGCTACTGTTAGGTGCTAGCACCTCAATCAAAGGAAAAAAAAAGATCAAAGATAGCCAGATAGTATCCTAAAATTTTAACATGAAATGCTGATGGCTGCTATGTGTTTTTTCATGTGAAGGACGAACACGCACCTCCATTATCGACAGACGCCTCTAACATACATACTCTTAGAGTAATAACTTTAATAATATAGCCAACTATTAGCTCCAAAAATTAAAACATCAACTATAATCAACCTAATAGCCTAATCACACATTAATTAGTTGTAAATACATATTATATAATTAATACCTTGCCAACGGTGGATACCCGTAGACCGGATATAGACACTACAAGAGATCTTATGATAGGTGACGCTTTATTTATGTCACAAACATTGAATTTTACGTCATGTTATGTAATCTGTGACGCTCACGTGACGAAAATTCATTCGTCATCTATCATGTGTCTCTAATGGCGTTCTATGACGAAACCTTTTTTTTTCATTAATCTAGTGACGATCCTTCTGTCGTCATAAAGTTATGACGTCCATTTTCGTCACCATCAAGCCCAAAAATCGTCATAAAATTTCATATGGACTGTTAAGGCCCATGTAGTGAGCAACATGTTTTTGGGCTAGGCCTTGTTAAAGCCCATGTAGTGAGAAACCTATTAATGGGCTAGGCCTACTGTAAGTCCAATTAGATTTTAATAAATTCAGCCCAATTCATCTATATTGAATTAAATATTAAACGGGCCATACATTTTCAAAAGGCCCAATAGGCCCAAGCATTGCAACAAAAATACATCTGGACCATGCACACTCGAGAAGCCCATATATCAAACAAATTTAGCCCAGTTAAAATTCAATACAAAATCCAATTAGCATTTGATAGCCCAATTAACATCATTTAGCCCACAAGCACCAGTTCACATTTTAGCATGTCCTAATATAGTCACAATCTCATACACAATCTCATATTCACGGAACTCGATGATACCAATGAGACCGTAGTCGAGCTGGTTCGACTAGATCACCCGGCGACTTGGCTCCTGTAAGCTCCAACTTCGTAGGCTGTGGTGGTTGTGTTGGCGGTGAGATTCGATGCCTTGGGTCCTCCCGGGGGATCCCTTTTATACCGCGGGTCAGTCGATCTCTAAGTAGAATTCGGAGATATTGGACCCCACATGATATGGTAACGACCCAGTTCCGTCCGAGTAGGACTCTTTCCATCTGTGAACTCCGTTTATGTTACGTGATAGATTTCCTTAACATATACAAGAAACACCCGTATACGCGTGGGTATACCATATCAGTATATATCTTATATCCAAGGATAGAGGGTATGCCTTATCCGTAACCCTGACATACCTAATCCACTCATCTATCTCAGATATAACTTATTGGAGCCCGTGGTATAGTCGGCTACAACTCTGTAGCCTGTAGAAATTGCTATAGAGTCCATTGCCAACTCCGTATACATACTATGTCTATGTGCCCGTGGTTTAGATTATACTACCAGTTGAAATAATTTGAACCGTTCGTTATTAAGGGTAAATCAATAATTTACTAATAATACAATGATTAAGAGTAACTTTGTTATTTATGTTTTTTTTCTAGCTAAATGAAAAAAGTTTAGTCATTGACCCTACCTCACCTACTTTTTTCAGACAATAATGCCCCTTTCTATTTCTACTACTGTTAACTAAGGTGTTAGTATAAATAAATCTAAACCCTTCGATTAAATAAGATTAATGGGTTAGATTGCTTTCTTCTATTAATATAAAGCAACGTAGTGGGGCTCTATACTAGCAATGGAGTAGAGCACGTACAGTACGATCTATTAATTGTAGTACTACATTCCAAGGCTATCCACGTTAGGACAGGTTTAGATGGAGATCAGGCAAAAGAGTAGAGGGTCTTAAGGGAGTATCATGCACTCGCACGGTTTGTACAGGCCTAGGTAGCAACAGTGCTACACTTGACCTTCGTGTGTTAGATTTGAGCCTGTCGCAAGCAGACAGGCTCGCTCACGCCGTCACGCGGGACCAAGCGTGGTTGATAGCACCGGGGTGGCCTGCTCACCGTGCTCGCTTCGGCCCAAAACTTGACGCCTTACGCGGTTACCTTGATTGCTCCAGTTTGGAATAAGTTCACTTGAGGTCCCTTAACTTGTCAACGAATCTGATTTTCGTCCTTCAACCGGAAAACCAGATACAATAGATCCCTCAACTATAAAAACCGATGCAAAGCAGGTCCCTCAGCGGTTTTGATGGTGGTTTTGGCTGATGTGGCGCCTATATGGTCGGTTTGACTTGGTCCTCATCCTACGTGGCGGTGACGTGGCACTGGAAGAAAAATATAAAAATTAAAATAAAAACAAATGTGGGCCCACATGCCAGTCAGACAAAAGGAAAAAAGAGTGAACCCACCTGTCAGTGGGTCCCACCATCATCTCTATCCACGGACGATTGGACGACGGGAGATTGGGAGAGGGAGCGACCGGCACCTCTTCTCTCTCCCTCCCGGCATCCTTCCTCGCCGGCCGGCGAGCACGCTCGGAGAGGGAAAAAGGCGCCGGCCGGCGAGGGTGGCGACGACGGCCGCTGGGCGCCGCCCGTTGCGCGCCTCTTCGGCGGGCTGCGACCGCCCGTCGCCGTCGAGCCCCAGTGCCCCACCCACGGCGCCCCGCCATTGCCGGCCTCCCTGCCTGTCCCCCGTTCGACCCATGCAGCGAGCCGCGCCACATATGACCTTGAAGATCTCTCTCTCATGCATAGCGCAGTACACACACGATCTCACCACACTAGTACTAGCTACGTTGAGAGTGTAGTAGGATGAGCCAGCAAGGGATCTGGTATGGCGACGTGTTCCCGTTGACCAGAAGCCTCGCGGCCAAGCCCATCGTGCCGTGGGACGCGGCGACGATGCAGTCGGCGGAGAACCTCGTGTTGGGGAAGACGGTCAAGGGCGGCCCGGCCGCCGCCATGGAGTCCGCGACGAGTCGTAACGAGGAGATGGGCGTCATCGGTCATGACCAGTCCACGGACGCCACCGCTGAGCATGGCGTCAACATCTCCGATACCCTCGTCCCCGGCGGCGGCCGCATCGTCACTGAGTTCGTCCCGGCCAGGTAATCACACTGTTGCATGAACACAGTTCGTCGTTGCCGTCTCTCCGATTGTTCGAGCAGGATGATGGCGCCGCCGCCCTCCGACTCCCGCAACCCTAGCTCCGCGTCGCAGACCGCCGAAGAAGTGCGCAGTGGGCGGCGGCCAGCTGCCGTCTCCGCCCCACTTGCCGGCCGGCGCCTTTTTCCCTCTCCGTGGGCGCTCACCGGCCGGCGAGGAACGATGCCAGGAGGGAGAGAGAGGAGGCGCTGGTCGCTCCCTCTCCCAGTCTCTCGTCGTCCAATCGTTCGTGGATAGTGAGGATGGTGGGACCCACTGACAGGTGGGTCCACTCTTTTTCCCTTTTGTCTAACTATATGTGGGCCCTATATTTTTGTTTTTGTTTTTAATTTTTATGTTTTCCTTCCAGTGACACGTCACCGCCATGTAGGACGCAAACCGGCCACGTAGATGCCACATCGGCCAAAACCACCGTCAAAACCGCTGAGGGACCTGCTTTGCACCGGTTTTGATAGTTGAGGGATCCGTTGTATCTGGTTTTTTGGTTGAAGGACGAAAATCGAATTCGTTGACAAGTTAAGGGACCTCAAGTGAACTTATTCCCTCCAGTTTCAACGTTTTATATGGGCCAGACCAAACAGATCGGCCTATGAGTAATCAAACATCGCCATCTCCCTGCACTAACCCCCGGAGGCCCGGACGTCCCAAACATCAGCGCTTCGATTTCGCAGGGGTAACCCTGGGGTCAACTCTGCTGTCATGCTATTGCTACCTCCTGCATGTTATGTCGAACAACCTGATCTTTCCATTGTGGAGCGCCACGACATGTACTATCGAGCAACAACTGAAAGATGTTGACACCAACGTAGTGAACAGTACGCATCACCATCTCATTTCCCGACACATTTTGGCAGACAGATCCCTAATGCGATCATGCGGAAAATAAACTAATCGTTTCTTGGATCGCTGCTCCGTTGCTTTCTCAATCCCGGATCATGCATGAAGCATCAATTTAATTGACAGATGCTATATCTAGCAGTAAGTAAAAACAGAGGGGGGGGGGGGGGGCACAGGTATCATCGGTACTCAACTGAAGTAGGAGTACATGATTTTTATCGGAAAAATTTATGAGCAATTAATAATGCATGCTGCTATTTCATTGATATACTATCATGCAAGAAATCGAAATGGTCCCGGAGACAAGATCGCGCGGCCAAGTGTCCGGTCGCCCAACGAAATCACAGGCGTGCCGCGACCGCAAGCGCGCCCTCGCCGTCGCCGGCCGGCCGGGCATGTCTCCGGCATGGGGGCGTTAGAGCAAGTTTAACAGTACAGCCCACTACTAATTTTAAATCATCTATAGCCGATGTAATAGTCAATTCATACAATAGTTGCTTACTATATTATTAATACCTGGTCTCATCTATCATACATATATTACGTCTTGAAGTCCGTGCTACAGCTAGCTACAGATCTGTAACCCGTTGCTCTTTTTTTTCCTTTATCTTTTTAAAATATATTTGTAGCTGGCTTATAAGCCTGCTATATTTATAGCTGGCTTAGGGCACCCGCAATGGTTATTTATAGGCTCTCTATAAGAGATCCATGTCAGCATATTATCCTATCTGGAAGAGATTAAATGAAGAGAGAACAAAACTATCTATTAACTTAGAGATAGTCTGTAGAGAAAAAGAGGCAATGGATTAGAGAGCTATACATACCCATGTAGACATACTATTGAGGTGATTTACTATTAATCTAGTCTATTGCTGAGATGTACATGTTTTATAGAGAGCATCTTACTTTACCATTGCGGGTACTCTTATAGCCTGCTATTTATAGCTGGCTTAAAATATATTTATAGATGGCTTAAACGAGACCGGAAAGCATGCGTGGGGCAGCGTGCTAGGAGCGAGCCAGCGAGGCAGGCATATGCACAGCACAGGGCCGTACGTCCTTCGAGGAAGGGGCAAGCTTGGTACAGCGTCACATGCGTGCTTTGGCGTCGGACCAGCGTCTCCTAAATGCTGGTTAGTTCGATCCTGTTTTTGTGCATGATTAGATCGACCCTATGATGCTTGGAGTAGTTTCCTACTAGCTTTTTCTCTTCACCGAACATGCTAACTAGACCATTCGTTTTCACTCCTTCCTGATTTCCTAGACCAAGAGATGTGGATGCACGATGAAATCGTTCTATATATAACTGGGTCCGAAATGACACATCGATCATCCGATAGACTCTCTTATCGCAAATATTTAATGTTCGATCCGAAATGGCATTAGATTTTCTGGTGACTATTCTGTTATATTCATCACACAAATAAACAGGGTCGTGGAAATAACTTGAGGCTCACGAGCACTTTGATCTCGGCCCGATCTCCAAATGAGCCGAAATGGAGCCTAACCAAAGCTTGTGAGTTCTGTTGAGCCGAGCACGAGCTGAGCACGAGCAAACAAACCCGACTATATAATTTTTATTGTTTATTTAATAAATTAGTATATCAAATATACACATCCACACGATAAAATAGCATTGGCTTGGCATCACACATTTATCTTAGTAAATTTTCTCATCTTTTACTAATGTAATCAACTAATTATTTTTTTTACAAAAAATCTACGGAACGGGGTACCGTAGGGACGGGATTGCGTCGAGGGAGGATGGGGAGCAAAGTCGTCATCTTGAAACCTCGAGATCCCCTTCCACCTTATTTGGCATCACCTGAGCTTTTCATCGTTGTCTCCTGGTGGAAGAACCAGCATCGATAACCATTTCTATCCCTTCTTCTCTCTTCTTGTTAGCTCAAATCTGATACCCGATGATAGTGGCCTAGTATGGAGAGGTATTGGCTGGTACCGACTAGGAATCAATTGGTACCTGCGATGGGTACTGGACGATGCCCATGTCGCACATAGGTATTAGAAATATGATAACAATAGATATCAAATTCGGAAATCTGAAAGGTATCATCCTATCTGGATGGAATCTCGTAGTGTAGTAGCCCTATTATTTTTGTTAAGGATTATCCTTAAAATATAAGTTATGTTGCTCACGAGCCAAGCGAGTCAAGCCTATTTGAAAGTTCAAAGGTTACACATGCTCGTCTCGAGCTCAACTCATTGACAACCCTACTCATAAACAATTAGAGTCCTTAGTCCATTGCCAACTCCGTATACATACCTATGTATATCGAAACCATTGTCCTATTCGTGTCATTATCGTTGCTACCTATCACTATTTCTACTTGTACTTTTAAGATACAGTGGCAAATACATTGTTTATTTTTATGACCCCGGACAACGATGGCAACACATGTTGTAGGATTTTAAAGTTATTACATAAATTGAACAAAATTTTCGTTGCAAATACTCAATGTAGCTATATTTTCCCGGGCTTTGAATGTTTTGGCTCTGCTACCGTTTAAATATAGAGAAATTTTACAATCCTTGTAAGGTACTGAGAGGTACTAAAATTTTTATACAATTTAATATATCTTAGTATCGAAAGTATCAAATTTTACACTATATTTAAAATATGATACCTAAAACTTCTAAAGAATTGTAAAATCGCTTCAAGATGTATGCCACCATAGAAGAAGCAAGCCGGCCAACCGATGGTGAACAACAAAACCGTACTAAATGAAGCACGTTAAACAATGGTTTTTTAAACAAATTCAGGCGATCAATACTAGCAAAACTGATGCATTGAAGGGCACGTGCCAATGTACATGCCACGTGGTCAAAACCTGCTTAATAGTCGCATTATTGATTACTACTGCCTAACAGCCTAAAACATGATTGGTCGAGATCTGTCAAATGAAGAGAAAGACTGTGCTTTTTGTAAGGTGCTGGTCGATCGGCTTATTGATATTGAACTAGATACTGATCATGGTCCCTATTGATGTCTGCCACACACACAGGCTTAAAATGAATTAGAACCTACCTTAACTAAATAAGGAAAAATTACAAAAATCACCCATAAATCACTTTAAGTTTGAGATTCTACCCCATAAATCATTTTATTACAAATGCTCACCCCACTCCAATTTTATTGCAAAAATCATCCCAGTGTTCACGTGCTTAACCGAATCAACATGTGTGTTTATAAATTACGAGCCGACAATATGGTATTTATCAAAATAAGTACTTCTAAGAGTATAGTCTTGACATGCTTTGAAGATTTCGCAAATAGAATTGTTGATGATAGCTTAAATGTTATCGCACCGAGTTTCGCTATATGCATAAGAAAATTCAATGGAACATCAAGAATAAGATTAATATAAGCACTTGGACAATATTGACTTGACTAACTTAGTCTATAGTTGCTCTACATCAGTGATAACATGCTGATTCGGTTAAGCACGTGTATATTAGGATGGTTTTTACAATAAAACTTAGTAGGGGTGGGTATTTGCTACAAAATAACTTATGAAGTGGAATCTGAAACTTCAAATTACTTATAGGGTGATCTTTAAAATTTTCCCTAGTAACAGCCGGAAACAACGTGCCTATGCATGCATCAGTATCGATTCATCAAAACACACCATGTGCATGGACATCCACAAGCTAGCATGCATGCGTGGGCTCTCAATAATTCGATTGCTTCATTGCATGGACAAGATCACAAGACTGATCCCGCGGCTTGGATAGGGAAAGCGATCGATAAATCCTCAGCTGATAAATCACCACGCAATGAAGTGCCTCGGGAACAAAGAAACAAGAGAAATTATTTTGCCTTCAGGCCGGGTACATACGCAGGTACAGGAATAGGGATTATACACTGCTGAAGCACCTGAATTCCTGAAAAATAAAAAGAATAGGAAGCGTGAAATACTAAAAATAAATAATGAAACAATTTTTGGTGCCTCAAAATACTTTGTCGTGTCATCTCCTTATCCACTCCTGCACCCCCGAAGTTGTGCCTTTTGAATACCTGATTAACCCTGTAACCCAAGCTAGTCTAGTACAAATGTAATGGGCTAACTTTTTAACTTATAAAATTTTAATGGCTGAGTTTAAAATAGGATGAGTTTATTTTTTTATCTAAAAATATACGAGGACTAGGTGTAGTTACTGGTGATGTAATTAGCTACTAGTACGTAATTTTCAATTAAGGATCAATGCAATAAATTTGAAACAAACAAATATCCATCAAGAAGGATCAATGCGAAAATTTTGAAACAAAATAAAGTAGGAAGAATTAATGGAAGGTAGCTTGTGACTACTGGAGAACTGATCTCTGCTCGGATAGCAAAAATCACATTTGTCCTTGTTTGAATAGGATCCGGGACTAAAGCATATCTTTAGCTCCGGTTCAAAAGCCTAAAGACACTTTATGAACTTGAGTGATCATTTTTAGCCACGGTTCAATAGCTGTCAGGCCGTGTTAGGCCCCCAACGATCCTTAGTTCCGATTGATGTTCATCACTTTAGTCCCGGTTGGTATTACCAACCCGGACTAAAGATGGAGAATCCTTAGTCCCGGTTGATATTACCAATTTGAATTAAAAACTAATATTTACTTTCAGTTGGTAACACCAACCCGAATAAAAGATATTTTTAGTCCAGGTTGGTGTTACCAACTCAGACTAAAAATGCCTCCAGGGTTAGTTTAAAAAGAAAGCATATCTATCTAAATCAGATGTGTGTAGTAGGTGGGATGCATGGTAATGCGCGTGAGGGCTGAGATCTTGAGTTTGAATCCCACATACCACACATTTTTTTTAACTTGGTATGCATCTTTAGTCTCGATTATTTCAACCGGGGATAAAGATGGTCCCGGATTAGATGTCCCAGTTGCTCAACCGGGACTATAATAGGTCGCCAACCGGAAGTAAAGCTCTCTTCCTACATAGGCAACCTAAGTGCTGTTTGATATGGAGATCAACAAAAGAGAGAGCTACAGAACCCATGAGGCCACGACAGTACTATCATATTGACAGGAACCTTCAGGTTAACAGATGGAGTGATAGAGAGACACATGCCGAACGAAAAAGCAGCATTGCTTCCATCCTGCACCGCCCCAAGTGGTCCGTCTTACGTCGATCAACGATCATATCTCTATCGTTCCCATCGAGCGTCCATGGTCCAAAAGATGCGCTTGATGATCACAAACTCCCTTTTGTTTGAGCTCCCTTTTGTTTGAGCGGAAGATTACAAACCTCAATAGAAATGGACTACTTTATGTCAAAATATTATGTCAAAAACATGGAGTACTAATCTAGTATAGGTACAAATTCCCTTATAACAACAAAATACTATCCCTAAGGTGGTGTTTGGGAATTAAGGAGCTCTCACCAAAGCATAAGTTCCTCTGGAGGACTAAAGTTTAGTCCATCCTTCCCAAACACCACCTAAAAGTATAAATATGCAAGCAAGCAAACTAACTATATTCTTATAAAGGTATATATGATGAGATAAAAATGCTTTTGTGTCCTCAATATTGTCACCTATTCCTTTTTTGCACCCTCCTAAAGTTCTTTTAAAAATCCTTTAATATTGAACTAACCTAACAGTCTAACACATGGAGTTCACATGATTGTGGCCTTGTGGGGGTCCATTATGGTTCTCAATGGTACGTAGTCCATTTAGCCTCGTCAGTCATCACCAATTAACTTAGCTACTTTATCAGTTCTGCTACATATTTGTATCGTATGAATTTCCAATACAAGCTCATTACACAAGGAAATTCAAGTTCATACCATGTGTGCTCAATAGCAGATCCAAAAAGAAACAGTAGTATAGTATGAACAAATTATAACAAAGCTACAGTTCCCTCTCCTATCTACGTATGATATTGTGGGGGCTTCATGGTTTACACACCAATAGTGGAGGCTCGAGCCCCCATATTGTATCTGCCTCTGTGCTTGTTGAATATCTCAAGAAAAATCTTCTTCCAAACAAAGTCCTAGTCTCAATCTACATAAAGGGTTGATTCCATCCACGTAATCGTCATCCTTTTGTAACAATTGATCCAGTGCAAGATGAAAACTAATCCAACTGATGATCTGATATAACTACTCCCTCCACTCTAAAATATTCGCATTTCTATGATTTAAATTTTGTACCATAATTAAATATTTTTGGGGACACTGATTTCGATGCACGAAATCCATGCATTTTCGGCCAATCATAAGTTTGGAAGTGTAGTTTAAGCAATTTAAAACTCAAAATTTGATCACTGAGATGATCGAAAGAGAATCTTTTTAAAACTGCTTTGTCTGATTTAAAATATAAGTATACCTAGATTTCAAATTTGTATGAATATATAAGCAATTCTGAGGGCATTGATTTTAATGCACGATAATCCATACATTTTCAGCCAAGCAGATGCTTGAGAGGAGAATTCAAGCAATTCAAAACTCAAAATTTGATCACTCATATAACTGAAAAAGAACCTTTTTTCTTTTCTTAACCTTAATATTTACTAAGTAAACTAAAAATATTTATATTTTGAAACGGAGAGAGTATATATCATTTGTACGAGCAACCCACGGATCTCCTGCTATGTCAGAGTCGATGCTCCACAGTCATGGTCACACTCAAACTCAGACAATCCAACTGACGATCGAAATCGACCCAAACAGGCAAACGATGGGCATGTACGAGAGTTACGACGATGAAGCTACACTGCTACACACAAAACGCAACACACCACCACCACAACAACGGCCACCCAACTTCTCATTTTCCAGCTCGATCGCTCGCTAGCTCCCGTCGTGTATGGATGGATGGCTGACTATATATCCACGCGAGAGGCAGGCAACCCCGCTTTGCGTAGGAGAAAAGAATCACTACTTCACTAGCCAGCTAGCTGCACCTACTCCGTCCAATGCCGTCCTTCGTCGACGGCCCCACTCTCCGGTCGCTGCTCCGGCCGTCCACCAATGGCCGCCGGACGAAGGCCTCGGACGGCGGAGGAGGTGGTGGTGGTGGAGGGATCTTTAAGATGTTCAAGCTCATGCCCATGCTGACGTCCGGGTGCAAGATGGTGGCGCTGCTCGGCCGGCACAACAGGGCGCTCCTGGCCGACCACGCGACGACGGTGACGCTGTTCGGGCACCGGCGCGGCCGCGTGAGCCTCGCCATCCACGAGGACACGCGCGCGCCGCCGGTGTTCCTCATCGAGCTCCCCATGCTGACCAGCGCGCTGCACAAGGAGATCTCCTCCGGGGTGGTGAAGCTGGCGCTGGAGAGCGACACCCGCAGCGCGCGCCGCCGGCTCGTGGAGGAGTACGTCTGGGCCGTCTACTGCAACGGCCGCAAGGCCGGCTACTCCATCCGCCGGAAGGAGGCCTCCGACGACGAGCGCCACGTGCTGCGCCTCCTGCGCGGCGTCTCCATGGGCGCCGGCGTGCTGCCGGCCGCGCCCGAGAAGGAGGGCGGCGTCCCCGCGGGCCCCGACGGCGAGCTCACCTACGTCCGCGCCCGCGTCGAGCGCGTCGTCGGGTCCAAGGACTCCGAGGCGTTCTACATGATCAACCCCAACGAGGGCGGCGTCGGCGGCGACAGCGCCGGCGACGGCAGCGCGCCGGAGCTGAGCATTTTCCTAGTGAGGATGAAATGATATCGAAGTTAGTATATATACTTCACCTAAATCGAAATACATATATACTACTTTGCCTTTCTCTTGTGAATACACTCTTGTGTGTGTGCAGACAGGTTCAACGTAATGGTGGAAATAGAAAGTATGCATAATTCAGTTAATTAATCTGTATTATCTTTTCAGTTAGACAGTTAATTTTGTATATGCCTGGTGGTCGAATTGGTAGTATGCAGGTTATTGCACTAGAGTAATTAACTTTCTTAATTTTCATATACCCAAAAAATGTCTTCCCTTTTCAAAATTATACTTTAACATGATGAGTTTTAGTTCTTTCATGTGTTATGGCTGTAATCGGTATTTTCTTACAAAGGTGGGAAATAATAGTGTTATAAGATGCGGATTGGGATATGGGCATGCACCGTACCATAATAGTTGCTCTTTAAGTGATGCATGTGCAAGCTGGTAGGTACAGTGTTCATAATCTTCAAACAGTACGTCCCATCTCCACATTGACTGTTCGATATAATTCGGACTATAGGGAATTCCATAGGAGAGGAAAACATCACATGTAGTTGTGTATAATACTAATATTTTTTATGTTTTTAATAGATGACACTGTTAACTTTTAAACTCACATTCAATCATTTGTTTTATTTAAAAAATTATGCTTACAATACTTTTAGTGCTAAAATAACTCACAACAAAATAAATGATAATTAAATTATTTTTTAATAAGATGAATGATTAAATATGTGTCTAACAGTTAACGACATTATCTATTATAAGGGTAGTACTAATTTAACATAGTAACCAAATGCTATGACTGCATGACAAAGTTGGTTAAATTGCAGAGATTTGAGTTAGGTAGTTCAGTACCATCCAAGAAGCACAAATTGAAAGACATCATCGTCCTCGTCAATATTGTATAAATTGGACGGCACCTTCCACTGCATGTTTTTTTTTAAAAAAAATTAAAGAGGTAAGAATTTCGTCTGTCGTATTGACAGAACAGAGAATCTTGAAACATATTATTTATGAGATGTTTTAGGATGCCATTTAAAAAGGGTAAAATTCTAAATATCAATAATGAAAAATACCATGTAAAAGATATTTAAATATTTTTTAAGATACAATATAAACACGGGTATTCATAACACACGCACACTCACCCGTATGAACGCACATACACATATCCTATTTCTATGAGCATATTCGAAAAAAGGATCAGCATATTTTGAGATAGATGAAGTCACCACGGTCGTCTCGTTATTGATGGATACATCGCCAACCACTAAGTGTCAAGCCTAAGACTTAGAATCTAGATAGACTGGTTCCATCGCAAGAAATCTAACCAACTGAGATATGCTCACCTCGTAAGGTATTTAAGTATTGATATAGGTATTTAGGTAGGAAGGATAAAAAGATAATTTTGGTATGAGAAAAAAAGTGGCATAATGTAGTTTCGTAATTACAATTCGACAATTAAAAAAAGTTGGATATCAAAGGAGGGGCTTTGGTATCAATGGAATTAAGAGAGGAAGATATGTGTCGACTCTAGGTGGAGTCGAACGTGGGTGGGCGTGCACACATGACCGCGCTCTGGCCATCTGCGCATTAGCACAGTTCCCAATCTGATAATCTTATCTAGCATTCTAAACAATGCATTCTAAAATGAGCTGCTCCTACCGCTGGTGATATCTCAATCCCGTTGTAGGTAGGATTAAACGAACAAGTTCTTAGGGAGAGTTAGTTCAACTAGGTACACCACTCCCGCTATGTTTTGTGCTTTGCGCCTCTCTTTTTTTTTTGTCGTTACTGAGCTTGAAAGGGTTCTTTGCTATGTTACCGAAGATTTTTGCCTCTCACACCATAGCTCCCATGCAACTAAAATAAGAAAGCATGTTCAGGGGTTTCTTTGGCACCCCCGGTGTTGAAGATGGCATCCACCACCGTTCACGCATTGCAGCCTATTCAGTGTATTTTGCTAGTCTATTTGCATCTATTGAGCCGCCATTTGCCAATTTCACCGTGAAAATTGTCATGTTGGAGTTTAATCTACATATTTCTTTAAGTCTTAGCCTAAACATGACCACCTTCTGCTTATGCGGAAAATAAATTGATCTACTGACTTAAGGATAAAGCCATTAAAGCCACTTATTGATTTCGTTTTCTTGCTTTGATTTTCTCCTCTGTTTCCTCTTTCCGATTCTATTCGTTCTCTGTTCTGGTCGACGGCTTTCACCTGCACAACCTCAAGACTTCCTCATTAAACCCTTCCGGTGCACACTCGATCGGGTGATTAGGTTTAGGGTTTGTGTAGAGAAAATTAGCGTGTACCAAGCTCAGGGGTTATCTCTAATTAGGATTTGAATCCATTTTTTTTACCAATCACGCAAAAGCAGATTTATCTCTTAGTTGGTTTCTTGTTAGGAAAGAATTTTATCCTTTCCCTAATCTTATTAGTCATTAGTCGATAAAATCACCCAACACGTCGCACCTCCAATAGGTGAATCCAAGATTTCGATTCTTTTCTACAAAGCGGGCAGAGCTACTGATCTGGCCATCCTCGTGCTTGGTGTCAATCGATGAGCTTGTGATGATGATATTAAACAGTCAACGGCGGGTGTAGTAAAATTGGCTCGGATACACAGTTATTCTCACTTCATATACAAATTAAAATCAGTCTCTCATCCACTATACCAACATCATTGTAAGTCCAATATAGGATATTACACTGTATTTCGTTTCGATAATAGAAACGGGAGTAGGCCTGACCTCTCTTTCTCCAAAAACAAAGTATTACAAAATATTTGATGGAAACTATATAATTAATTTCAAGCTGATTTTGACACTTCGGGGACAGTTATGACAGAATCGTCACTATACTTCTCGAAAATCTCTCACACTCAATAAGCGCAACCAAACAATAGTTCACGAATTGATCGCCCCACTGTTGTTTTTTGGGCTGTCTTAAGGCTACTTTTGTCGGTAGTGGATAAAGATAAAAAGTTTCTTGTTTTCTATACGCATACTTTCTTAAATGATATATCTTTTTTAAAAAGCTTTTAAAGAAAGTTACTTAAAAATCATATTAATATATTTCTCATATTAATATATTTTTCGAGTTTTAAATAATTAATACTTAATTAATCAGATGCTAATGGTTCATCTCTTTTACGTAACTTCTCAATCTTCTTTTTTTCTCTTCTCTTAAACACATCCTTAGAAGATCCAGTAGGGAAAAAAGGATACTTTTGCTGAAGAACAATTTACTCTGTGCAGAAAGTAGCTAGTGCCTAATAGTAGTCGTATGAGAAGTGCTGGAAGAGTTAGCTATCAATAATCTGCAGCACCAGATCATCTCCGGCAACTGTAGCATGAATTGCTGATCCATGCATCTCCCTTGGACAGCGTTTGGTCCTGCAATAAGTTGTTCAGTACATCTTTCTTAGATCGGTGACCAGACCTACAGGGTAGTGCAGTCCATGTTGGACCACCTGTATGATCTGGGTTCATCAGGTTGTTCCAGCAGGTGAACTATTTTAGATGTTGCGAGTAAGACATGCAACACTTGGTCGTGTAGATCCGGTTTAAACGTAGAGGATAGATTTCAATCCTATTTTCTATATATAAAAAAAAGAGATGCAGCAATTTTCTAGATGTTGCAAGTAAGAGATGTCAAAACTTCTAGGTCCCCATCGTTTGGCTTATTTTCTAATAAGCCAAGGAAATAAAAATGAATTTGTAGGTGAAAATTTTATAAATGTGTTCTTGGTGACTTAAAAGCCAATGTTGAAAAAGAAACTACGTTGAAAATATCTCAAAATCAATCTCAAAATTAAGCTTGAAAATTTAAAATTTGGCTTTTTTTTTTTTTGCTGATTAAGCCATCCGATGGGAGCACTAGTTGGATAGATCAGTAGTTAGTTCAATAAAAACTTAAGCTGATGAGAAAAGTTGGATAATCCACTTATATACCTAAAAACAAAAACACCTTCCATACATTAAAAAAAATGATGTAAAAGCTTACAAGATCTGAACTTGTTTGCCAGTGCCAGCAACATGTTTCTGATGCTTCGCTGTACTGTTGTTTGGATGCAGGCATATGCAGCACAATTGTTCCAGCTTGCTATCGTACCCTCTAGTCCTTGCTGGTCGTCAATTTACCTCATGCCTCTGCATGACTACTGTTGAGATTATAGGCATATAATGATTTAATCTATTTCATAAATAAATCATGACATTACAGATAAAAACTAGCATGAACACATCATTAGATCTACACATGTAAACTACACAGTATAATATGAATAGATCAAACATGCGCAACATATTGAACACGTACCGAGGTGGCGGAAAGACCGGCTGCTCGGTCGAAACTTTTCGCAGGCGTCTACGAAGGCACGCAGCACGCGAGCGAAGAGGAAGACGAGCCGTCGCGGACAAACAGGGAGCAGTCGCGCAAAGCGCTTCCCAAAAACCTTATTGTCGCCTTCTCCCGGTGCAGGACGTCGAAGGCAGAGGTTCCGGAGACCTGCTCTCCCAATCGCAGGTGCACGCCGGCGAGCGGGATGGAGTAACCTACGAGCGACGGCGCAGCACAGAATAGGAGGCAAACCCTAGATTGATTTCGCGTGTGTTGCGTGAAGGCGGCGGCTCGGTTTATATAGAGAAGGGTCGCTTGATCAGGGCGCCCGCACCATCTCCACTGCGCGTAAGTCGCGCGTAACTTATCCGGACTCCACGCCGTTTGCACGCACCGGATTTTTCGGAACATTTCCAAAACAAAAACGAACTGCATCTCACCAATTTTGACGGACCATTCGACGCGTATGTCGTGCACGCGCGCCGCCTGCCCTGCCAGGCCAGGCGAGCGAGCGCGCAAGGTGAGGAACCAATTTTGACGAACCGTTCGACGCGTACGTCGTGCACGCGCGCCGCCTGCCAGGCCAGGCGAGCGAGCGCGCGCGTGTTCCTCCTCTTCTCTCCGCCACACATGCTTCAAGTGGCTAGGAGGGCATCCTCCCTTTTAAGGAGGCCCCATTTCCTAGAATAAGCAAGGTGGTACTAAACTCTATATGCATATCATCCCATGAGATGGGCTTTTATGATTTTCCAAAGAATTAATTTTCGAATGGGCTAAGACCCATTCATTAATTCCAACAACTACTCGTCTTCACTTGCCTGGTTACGAATTGAGCTTCCTCCCTATCTGCTTTTTTTTTAAAGCGGATTTACTGATTTAGCTTTCTCTGATAATGAGTTGAATCCTGTACATGATGAACATTTGGCCCATGGCAAGACCAGACTGTACCAGCATATTTGGGCTAAATTTGGGCCATGTATACGACACATGGATAGATGAGGCCCAAGTGACCTCCCAATACGTACTCGTTAGGACAGGCCGAAATCCCGGGCTGTTCAGGTGTGTCAGTATATGGGCCAAAATCCCGGCCCATACACGTTGGAGTAAGTCCACTTGCTATCTCTCATGTTTACGTCAAGTTTAATTAACATCCCTTAAACCGTAATATCAAGAATCTTAACAAAACCGTCCAAACCAGGTCCCATAGCAGTATTATGGATGGCTGTTTTAGCTAACATGACATTCTAGTCAGGAAAAAATATTTAAAACATGTGAAACGCACATGTAAGTTACCACCTCTTCTTCTTCATCTACTTTTTAAGACAAAAGGCATTACGCCCCGCTTTTACTTGAAAACATAAAAGTTGTACAGAAGTCATAAGAAAACAAAAGAAAACTTCTTCCTCCACTTTCCCTCTCCTCTTTATAGGCTAGGATTTAGGCCCATACAAACAAGGCCTAATTGGCCCACACGGGTCAAAGCCCAAATACCACGCGTTTGGGGGGAACACCGCTTATTCGCTATACGCACCCCAAGCTGCGGCACACCAAATCCATCCCCCGAATCCCCCAAGTCCACATCCACACTCGCCAGTCGTCACCTCCTCCTCCTCCCCCCTCCGCTCGCCGCCGATGGATCCGGCCGCCGCCGCGCGGGGGCAGGCGGAGCAGTGGATGCGGGTGGCGGAGAAGCTCCTGGTGGCGCGCGACCTGGAGGGATGCAAGGAGTTCGTCTCCCAGGCGCTCGGCACCGACCCCCACGTCCCGGGCGCCAACGACCTCCTCGCCGCCGCCGACGTCCTCCTCGCCGCGCAGCGCCGCCGCATCCCCAACGGTCATCCAGATCCCTACGCCGTCCTCGGCCTCGATCCCTCCACCCCGGCCTCCCGCCGCCCCGACGCCATCCACGCGCAGTACCGTCGCCTCTCCTTCCTCCTCAATCGCTCCCACCCCGACCGCCCTTGCTCGCTCTCCTTCGCCGAGGCCGCCCGCCTCGTGGCCGATTCATGGGCCTTCCTCTCCGATCCGATACTTAAATCCGCCCTGGATGCTGAACTCGACGCCGCCGCCGCCGCAGCCGCGGCGGCGGCAGCTCGCGCGTACCATCCTCCAGCTCCGATGCAACAGCCGCAGCCGCAGCCTCCGCCACAGCCAACTCCACCGAGGGCGGCTCCCCTGCCAACTCCACCAAGGGCGCCTCCCCAATCAACTCCACCGAGAGCAGCGCCCCAGTCAACTCCACCGCAGCGGGTGGCTCCACAGCCACCCGCCACTGCAGCGGCGCCGCCGATTGAGCCTGTCGCGCCGCCTTCGCCCACGTTCTGGACAGTGTGCATGTCCTGCTGCCACATTCACCAGTACGACCGCCTCTATGAGGCGCGGAAGGTGTTGTGCCCTAGCTGCCGCCAGCCATTTGTAGCCGAGGAAATGGCGGAGCCACCACCCATTGTGCCGGGTACTGACATGTACTACTGCACCTGGGGGTTCTTCCCTGTTGGTTTTCCTGGCTGTCCTGGCTTCGAGAAACTGATCAGTTCGCAGCAGCATGGAACAGATCAGCCGAATACACCTTGGCTTGGAACCACTGGTGGTGCGGAAGCTGATGGTGTGGCTGGTGCTGAGAATGGGGCGCCGGTTAGTGCTGCCGTGGAGGTGCAATCTGTGCCGAAACCAGCGAAACCCGTGAGAGTGAAGGTGGGCGCGAAGAAGCGAGGCCGTCCCAAAGGCAGCAAGAACAAGAAGAATTTGTGAATGATACCAATGAAGGTGATTGGTATGATCATAGATCAGATGGGTTTGTTGGGTTATTCGTTTGATCCTGCTATCATTGTCATCGACTGAAACGTTTATCTGTAGGTTGAATGCTAATTCGTGGTTGACAGGATCCTACATTGAGAAGCACTGCAATGGTGATAGAAACTTAGTTTTTCAGGCAGTCTTGCTCAGTTGCTGGGTTGTACTACCTTGCTGCTCTCATGCTTTAGATGCAGTTAGCTGCTGTATGTTGTCTAATTTCATTGACTTCAGTTGAGCTAGCTGTTCTGATCTAAGATTATTAGGAGATAGCGATTTTAGTACCGTGCATTGTAAATTTTGAAATTTGATGCTACTATAAGCTCTTCTCTGCATAGGATTGCAGACTTGCAGCAATGAATGAGAGTTTTATTTTCCCAGTCATTTATGCTCAGGCTAATTTTCAAGCGCCACAACATTTCTCTTTGATATCCTTATTATTTGATCATGCAATGAATACTTTTATTATTGTTTTCTTTGAATCTGGGCACTTTATCCGTACTTTTCTCATAGTTGCGATGATTACTGCTGTTTGGGTGAACCCAAACACCTTTTTCCTTTGAACCAAGGCATTTCATCCCTGTTGTAATTTTGGGCTGAATTTCTGCTGTTTATTTAGTTGACTTGCCATGTGGTCACTGTTAGCAAATCTAGTGAATGTGAATATATGATAGAGGGCAACAAGCATGTTGATGATTCATCAGTTTATCCTTGTATGTTTGTGCTGCCTGTGTCCATCCATGCCTCCATGGTAAATCCTTCTATTAAGCATCATTGCAATGTTTGTGCTGCCTGTGTACTCCGTTGGGCTGATTACTCGCATGGTCTAAGGTAGGTCTCATAAATCTGATGTAGTGTTGGAAGTCTACCTGAGCATCCAGATCTTAACTGAGCAGAGTCTGCAAGATCGAGAACATGTTGAAGTTTCCCTGGTAGCTTAATCCTCCCGTTTTAGGCCTCATTTTGATTGAAGGATTGTTTTTAGGAAAAACATACGATTTCACATCTAAAATGCCATTGCCCACTCCTTTCGATCAAAGGAATTGGTATAGGAAAAACAAAGGATTGATTTCTCTTCGCTATCAATTCCATAGGAATTTAAACATCGATCGAGGGCTCTTTTTTCAATCCTTTGATAAGTCCATGACAAAGCAAGCTACATAGCTAAGTGATCATGAATTAAACACATTCGGAACAATGACACCATTGGGTACACTTCAGTCCTTTGAGTACTACACTATGATCAATTCATGACTTCCAAACAACTCACTTTGTTTTTTTTCTATATTTTTCAATTCTTTGTTTTGCACATGCATTTGTATCCTATACTTATGTTTTTCCTATTCATGTGTTTTCCCATCACTGGAAAATGGAATTTTTTAAAGCAATTTCAAAGGACTTGAAATCTTGTGGTAATATTTTATAAAGTCCTTTGGATGGTAGGAATGGGTTTGAAAATTCCTATCCGATGTCTTCCATTCCTTCACGTTTTTGAGGATTCTAAACACTTAAACAAAGCTCATATGTTTTGCATCCCTTCGATAAATCCAAGGCAACATGCCACTTTATTTCTCCTCTTTTGTCTATTCTAATGAATTATTCGATTCAAAATCCCTTTTTTTCCTTATGGAGTAGACAAACACATCTTCTACCATATTCATGTGTTTTTATTTCCTGTAGGATCTATACTTTTTTTTTTCGTTTATGTGTTTTCCTAATATTGTGTTCCAAAGGAGTCCTTACCATGAAAAACACAATAAAAGAATGTTACACGTGAATTGAATTGGTATGCCGCTCTCATCCCAATGAGTAAAAAAACACATATGTTACAAAAAGAAGCACTTTTTAGAAGAAAATGACAATCAACTGTAAATTTGTATAAAGAGTATCTTATTTTAAGGAGAAATAAGAATAAACCTTGCACTGCAAAGTTAATTAGGAAAAAAACTAGCAAAAAATCACAACTACTACAGACACACAACCAACCTAAACAACCGCATCCAAAAAAGCACGACAACCAAACTCAACACCTCACCATATGTGCTCTTGGTCCGACTTTATGACCACCAAATTTATAGAGAGATAAGGCAGCTTGAATGAACAAAACCGTCGCTCTTGTCTTGCCTCATGGCACTATCTCCATCTAGCTACCTTGAAACCAAAGCCTCCCAGCGGCCACTTCACGATTGATGCCTCCACTCACCAAAACAAAACTTATTGTATCTCATAACGCAACAGCTCCAACCTCACCTCAACACATCTCGTTGACTTGAAGTCAGCTGCTATGTAACCAAGGAAAGTCGGAAAGGCAAGTGCCGCAAAAAGGAGCTCACTGCTCTTGCCTCCACAGCTGTCACCACCACGGTCGCATGCCACTATCTCCATGTAGCCACCACTAATCCAAAGCTTCTCAATAGTCACTTCACGACTAATGCCTGTGCTTAGTCAAAAAGGAAAAGAAATAAACATGTTGTAGGTCATCATTGCCAAGCTCGTCTCCCTTGACATAACAGTTCAATTTCATGTCAACACACTTTATTGACTTGCATTGATAACATCCACTATGCAACTGAGGAAGGTTGGAAAAGCAAGCTCTATGAGATGCAGATCGCCACTTCTGCTTCCATGGTTGCCACAACCGCAACCTCATAGCACTACCTCCAAACTACAATTCTAACTTCCAAAGATGATTAGCCAATTCAGGTTTCAAACCACTTACTCCATAGAGAGAAAATCGAGCGTCGAGTTATCCTTGCCAAGCTAAGTCAGCATGATGGAGCGGTTCCGATTTCCAAACACCTAGCCAATCCAAACAAGTCAGCAAGATGGCCTCACCCCCAATAGCGGGGAGGCGAAAGCCGCCCCACCTGTCGACACCATGACCATAGTAGTGTCCCTCGGAGTTGAAAGAGGCCTTGGGAGCAATGTCAGTCGGCAAGAGGCAGCCTATCAAGATAGGTATGGCTAGCGAGGATTCGCACCAATGGGCAGAGTAGTCCTTTGGTCACACCATAGAAAAAATGAATTGAAGGAAATTTCCAATTGATCTAACTCCTTTGCTTTTTTTTAATTTAAAATTGGACCATAGAAATACAATCACATAAAATACTTCCTATCTCTTCCTACAAACCAAGATGTCTATAGAAAAATTTTCTTTGGGTTTGTTCGGTTAATACCTCCCATGAAGATTGGAGAAATTTTGAAGATTAATTCCCTCTAAATTCCCTTCAATCCCTTTCTTATAGTGATTAACCAAATAAACTCTTGGATATTTGGGAAGTTAAATTTGAAAAATCCTTTGCCAATCGGGCTTGGTTATTCCCACACACACCTCTATAAGGGCGTGTACAAATATAGAATTCGATATGGCCTTTTAGTTAATACGTACTACCTTTGTCCCATAATAATTGTGTTTCTAGGATTTAAATTTGTCCCCAAAATAATTATCACAATAGAGTACTAATGATCCCATTAATCACTTCTCATCCAAATCTCTCCCTATTTTACCCTCAACTACTCTCCACTGTTACCTATAAACCATTTAATAGGTGGTATTATAGTTTTTTTTCTCAAATCTTAATATATGCTAAACAACCTAGAATTACACGATTAATTTAGGACGGATGTAGTATCACTTAGAGACTATTCTCCTCTAATAGTTGAGACAACAAAACCTCTTAACCACTAATACACTAAAATAACTTTTTATTACTCTTCTTCCTTTTATTCACCCTCATGTAACAAAATTTCCTCTAATAAATACTAAGAGTCGACTCTAAGCATTGTCATATGTAGCAATTACGTTTCCCTTTCCTCCCCTGTCTCTTCCACGTCCAAATTTACTTGTCCAAATTTACTTGCATGATAATGGAAATAGACCATTATTAAACACCGTTGTACATGTCCTAACAGTTATAATCATACAACAGAAACTAACTGCTTAACCATCATTACTCAATGTGCTGGAACCGGAAGCAGATCTTGTTGGAAATAATCTTGTCATTTGTGTGTTTATTAGCATGTAGAATTGTGTGCATTAACACATTGTGAGGATGTTCGTGTATGCATGGCTAGATCAGGTTGTTAGCTTGCATGTGTTGAATTAGTGTGTGCATGCAAGATTTATTAGTGTAGTTAGTTAGGTTGTTAGTCGTGTGAGCTGCATGTATATCCATGCAGCGCATGCTCAACTTTTGTCTAGAGAATGCGTTCAGTTTGTGCAGTTCGGTTTGTGTATATAAGTACACACTACTAAAAAACACCCTCATAAAGAATGGCTCATATGTGTCGGTTCATTTAAAACCAGCACCTATGGAGCTTTTCCCACATTCCTACTACGGAAAAACATAGAACCGACACCTTAAAACACTATAGGTACCGGTTCTAGTGAAAAAACCGGCACATATACTATAGGTACCGGTTTTTTAAAAGAACCAGCACCTATAATATATTATAGGTACCTTTTTTTTAAAAAAAAATGGCACCTATAATTTTGAGCCAAGCCCATCAGAACCACACCCACCGCGCGTCCTTATCTACTCAATCGTTCTCTGACTTATCCATCTAGCGTCTCTTTCTCGTCTCTCAGCTCGCACGTCTCTCCCCTCTCTCTCTCTCTCTCCTTCCCCTCTCTCTCTCTCTCTCTCTCTCTCTCGTGGTGCCTGCCCAGCGAAAACGGCAGCGGCGGCGGTGGCCGCGCCCTCCCCTCCGCCAGATCCAGCGGAGGCGGCGGGCACCCCATGGGCGGAGGCGGCCAGCGGTAGCAGCCGTGCCCTCCCCTCCGCGGATCCGGCGAGAAGGGAGGCGGCGGGCTCCGTGGCCGCCAGCGGGTACTCCCACGAGTGGCGCGGCGGGCTCCCGTCTGCCAGATCCGGCTAGAGGGGAGCATGTGGTGGAGGCAGTTGGGAGTCGGCGAGCTCCCACGCCGGCAGCTGCCTGGCGGAGGCAGTTGCGGCGCACCTCGGCAGCGGCGGCGGCTGCGCCATGCCCATGCGGCGATGGCGGCAGGGGTGGAGAAGGACACCGGTGGCGCATGTGAGGTGGCGGCTTGAGTTCTTTAGTGTTTTTCTTTTTTAGTTCATGAGTTCTTGTTAAGTTCTAGTCCTAATTTTGTTGAGTTCTTGTCCCAAACTTGTTGAGTTCTTATTCTTTGTACCATGCATATACTAGTTTGCTGTTGGTTTTGATCTCGAATCCGAGAGGAAGGGGAGTAGGGCTGGGTTCAAGGGAGGATGACAACGACAGTGACGTGTGGTTGGTTGGTGAGTTCGGCTCGAATTTGAGCCGGCTCTCTTTTTTTTTTTGGCTCGAGCAATGCTAAAGGTGCCGGTTCTATTTTTCTTAAAGGTGCCGGTTTCTAGTATTGGTGCCGGATGAAACTTTTTGTAGTAGTGACACTTGATAGAGGAATAAAAATGAGTGGCATGGTTCCTGAGAAAACAAGATGTAGTCCCATGTGTATGCTCGTGTTCTCTTTCTCCCTTAATTTCTTTCTTGTGTCTGTGTGAGATATAGAGTAATAGTATAGAGAGATAAGTTATTAGAAGAGCCGAGTGAATCGGTTCCAACAGGATAATTGTACCATAAAAGTTCTCTATTTAGGAATAGGCCTGCCAATCTGTGATTTTACAGGATGCAGCCCCTCCTGAGAGAATCCATCAATTTTGCAGCACGACATTGAAGACGGCAGCAGGAATGCATGCAGGATTACAGGTACATACGCCATGTTTGCTGCGGTACATACGCCTCTGTTTTCTGCTGCATCGCGCGCTCGTCGACAGCTCCTGAGGTCCTGGATCTACAAAGGGATTGAGGACCAGATCGACTCCAGAGTACCACACTCCCGAATCCTTGAACGGAGAAACGATGCCAATGCACATAATTTCCATCAACCCGAGAAAAACCAGCTCACCGTTCAGTACTCGAACTGCTACTGATTGGTAAGTAGTAGTACTTCGATACTGTGGTACTACTACTATAAATCTAAGTATGAATCTATGATGGATGCTACTTGCAATTGCAAGTTACAACCCTGTCTCTCTCTCTCTCTGCCTATCGATCATCATGCATAGCACCGGTGTGTACTCGTCGCAGCCTTTTTCGCCTTCGCTGTACTCTCTTTGCTCGCCTGCTTAATTGTTGCCTTGTAACCTAAAGGCGTGTGCCCGTTTGTTACAGAGCAAGGAGACATGGCATATCGGCGTGCCGGCCATATTGCTGTAAATGTAGCCCGCCGGAGTTGCGTTTGCCGACGCTTTTTCACTGCACCCGTCCGACAATTTACGTGCGAGAAAAGTGCAGTACACATGTGCACATGCATCCACCGGTTCAACGTTACGTTACTCCCCTCGCTCCGGCAGAAACTGCGACGTTTGAAGTTTGATCGGTTGTGCGGTGATTGGTGAATAGCCGCCAAAAGGCGAGGACCACACACGGGTGATTTCTCCTCTCGATCGACCGCGACACAGGTCGAAACGCCAATGCCCACCGCAGCCAGACCTGCCCTAGTTGCCTACGCAATAAAAAGCCATGTCGCCACCGGCGCCGGCGGCCTCCGACGTGCCCGTTTGCTTATAAGAGCAAGTTTAATAGTATAGCCCACTACTGACTCCAATTCATCATAGGAGTAGCTATACAACTGTCGACAGTTTTTGGGATGAAAAACTTTCAAATATAACTACTATGTAATTACATTATAACTACTATATATAATTAATATGTAACTCGAGTGTAACTCAATAAAGCACGATGGGGCAACTGGTTAGGTGAACAAACCTCCAAATTGGAGGTGTTGGGTTTGATCCCTACTGCACGCGTTTTAATTTTTTAAACCGTTTTCGCTCATTAGCACAAATCTCAAAGCATATTAGACGGCTTAAAATTTGAAAGTTTTCACCCCTGTTAAATGTCGACAGTAGTATAGCAAATCTATTTATCTATAGCCAATTTAATAGTCAATTCATACAATAGTTGCTTAATATACTATTAATAGCTGGTCCTACCTGTCATATACACATTACGTCTTGGAGTCCATAATGCAGCTGTCTAGATATATAGCCCCCTGCTCTTCTCTCTCTTTTTTTATCTCTTTAAAATATACTTATAGCTGGCTTATAGCCTGCTATTGTACCTGCTCTAACAGTGCAATGCGTGCCCACCAGTACGTGGCTACCTGCGCGTTGCAACGATCGGCTTCCTGTCCCGCCTATATCTTCTCTTCGAACCGATCGAGCTGTGGGACAGAGACACATAATACGCTAGCCATTCGTGGAGATGGTGGCTGCACGGAGCGGCGACGACGCGGAGCTCAGGTTGGACGTCGAGTGCTTGGCGGCCGCGCCGCGGTGGACCAGGGCGAGAAGGAGCCACAGCGAGGCGGAGCGGAAGCGGCGGGAGCGCATCAATGCTCACCTCGACACACTGCGCGGCCTCGTCCCCTCGGCGTCCCGGGTGCGCGTGAGCTCGATCGTCTCGTACTCTCATAGTCTCATGCATGCATGTCACCACCGTACGTACGTGGTTGCAACAGATGGACAAGGCGGCGTTGCTCGGGGAGGTGGTGCGGTACGTGCGGAAGCTGCGCAGCGAGGCGGCGGGCAGCGCGGCCGTCGTCCCGGGGGAAGGCGACGAGGTCGTCGTAGAGGAGGAGGAGGTGGAGGTGGAGGGGTGCAGCTGCGACGCCGGGGAGAGGCAGGCGGCGAGGCGCGTGAAGGCGTCGGTGTGCTGCGCCGACCGCCCGGGGCTCATGTCGGAGCTGGGCGACGCGGAGAGGTCCGTCAGCGCGAGGGCGGTGCGCGCGGAGATCGCCACCGTCGGCGGGAGGACCCGGAGCGACCTGGAGCTCGACGTCGCGCGGACGGCGGCGGCGGGAGGAGGCAGCAACGGGGCGTCCCAGCTGCCGGCGCTGCAGGCCGCGCTTCGCGCCGTGATCATGAGCCAGGAGGAGCTGCTCGCCGTGGAGAGCTACAAGCAGCGCCGCTTCTCCGCGGATTTCGCCTAGGGCATGTTTGGTTCCCTTACGTACATTGTCACAATTCCATACGTAAGAGTGGACAAGTCAGTAAGTCATAGTTACGATACTGCACTAGACACTATTTGGCATGGCAAAGTTTGGCAACTAAAACCAAATACGTCCCTACTTGATTAGGGCTCTTGAAGTGATCTGACTAGAGAAATAGGAAGGAAGAGGAAGGAAAACTGTGGAAAATGCAATCCCCTAAATTGAACATGTAGTTCATGTTTTTTTCCATCCATTAGATATTGCAACTATCAGTGTTTTCATTCTCTCGAGGTTATTTTTTTTACATCACCTAAATAGTTCTTTTTGAAGAAAAAAAATTATAAAATGACACGATAGACTAACATGAGATATATCAATATGTGTTTTGTTATTAGATCGACTACGTTTAATACTTCAAATATGTGTCAGTATATTCTATGTGACAACCAAACTTAAAAATTTGTCCCAACTAAACAAGGCCTTAATCTTGAGAGTAGAGAATTAACTAGAGACCTCACCCAATCGAGATACTCATATAGCAAATACCAGGCCGTATAGTCACATGTGCAAACTGTGCATGTGTTCAGGGGCCTCTAAAATTTAAGGGCCCCAAATCTACCATTAGTACTAATAATTCATGATTAGTTAGTATCATATTCAGAGGGAAAAAACAGACAAAAGAAAAATGAACCCAACAAGATTACAAGGTCTAATCCTCTTCATGATGCTAATAACAATTTGTGATATCTGTATTAAATCCGCCCGCTGTCCGATTGTTCGCAGCAGTAATAAGCCTACAACAATTAACATAATCAATCAACAATTTCATAGTAAAGGGGACTCAAAATCACATTGTAAGGCTTTTGTTTTCTAATTTTAAGGCCTTATTTTACATTTTGTACTCACTGCTGCAGGGTCTGAATGACATCGTCTGCAGTACTACTCACTGACATGTGAGCCCCACAGCCCCTCTGAATGACATCGCTGCAGTACTACTCACTGACATGTGAGCCCCACAGCCCCTCTGAATGACATCGTCTACAGTTCTGCTCACTGACATGCAGGCCCCACAGCCCCTCGGGCCCACATGTCAGTGAGCAGTACTGCAAAGGATCTCAATTGCTGAATGACAAGGGGTTCACTATAGATACTGGCAGATTGCATGGCAGCATTGAAGTCCATACTGCTCAAACCTCGTCATGAAGTATAATCAAAACTACTGCACTGGACCAAACTTATCAAAACTAGAGTACTACTGCTTAATTAAACTACTCCCTCTGTGTACCTCCATCCTAAAATATAAAGCATTGAAACATATTAAAACTACTCCCTCTGCACCTCCATCCCAAAATATAAGTCATTGAAACCAGTGTCTCATCTGGTCTTAATACATACCCCAAACTTCCGAATGAACCAAAATATTTCGGTTGTAGTGACTACGACAAAAGAACAGTAAAGATTGAACTTTAAACACAACATTGTTTCAACTATTTGAGAATTATTATATTGATACAGCAGCTGCCCGGCACACCAGATTACAAAGCTCTATCTTATTTTTGCAATTACACGATAAATGATACAACACAATAATTTGCCAAATGTGGCAAGATCGTACATGTTTTTGGTATGAATATGAGTTTGCAGCTTATTGAATTAATATGATGCTTCTAAGCAGAAAATAATACAGGGATATTTGGACAAAATTCACTTTGTCCCCGGCAGTTTGACAAACTTTCACTTTGCTGCCATAATGTTCATTTCTGTTGCACTTCACTCCATTGTGGTTTCGCTCAACTGCAGCCTAGTCACTGTATCAAATAACTGTTAAAGTGCCACATGTACCTCTGTGAAGCTGATAACATACAACATGACCAAGTATGGCCGTCAAGTGTTATGTTAATCAATGGTACCAACAACACCGTAACAGTGACTTGATACTGGGACTCGTTCTTGCAGAATGTCAATACCACAATGGAGCAAAGTGCAATGAAAATGGACAGCACAGTGGCAAAGCAAAACCATGCTAAACTGCAGGGGGCAGAGTGAAATTTACCCAGGTAAGCAATGCCTCTTGATCAAGACCAGGTAGTCCTATTCTTTATGGCATACTTGCTTCCACCTTCCAACCCTTGGCGGTATACTAATTTCCACTTCTCGAATGTGCAATCAATAAAATTGTAATAGCCCCCATGAAGGCTCAAAGTTCCTTCATTCACCCTTTTCTCTATCCAAGGGTATGTTAACAAGTTCAACAGTGAGCTATTAATTGATTCCTGCAACAAAATATTTCATTCATGTCAGATATTACGGTAGCTTCATTTTAAATCAGCAATAAGAGCTATACAAAATTCAATGTTCAGCTATTGCATGCACTAAACTTTACCAAACATTTCAAGAAATCAAACACAGGAAATCAGTGTTATTTAGCATGTGTTGAAGTATGCTAAATCTATTCCAGAAACTTGAATACATAAACTGAACCAAGAAGAAGCCTGCTATCAGTAACGAGTTTACCCCTTGAAACTTTGACATCTCTTTGAACTAGTAAAGATCATTGAAGCAACAAACTGCACTACCAAATGCATGTTTTTTCCCCTGAAAAATCAAGGTTTCTACTATCTCCGTTCTTTAGTTTTCTACATAATATTCTTTTCTTTTTCAGTCTTCAAGATTTGACTTTGGCAATTGCTTCTAATAACTTTACGTTCAGATATAATAATGGAATTACAATATCTATATCTATACTCTATATATACTATTATGAAAGATGGTAGTGGTGGTGGTGAGTCTGCCATTGCCATCAACCACTGTCATGTAGGACCCCAAATAGTGAGTAGGTGGGGACTTTTGTCCATTCCCTAAGCAACCCAAGAACCCAACTAGGTAAATGTTCACTGACTTACTATCTATAGAACAATGTGTTTTGTACTTTTACTTTCAATCTTACTAATATACACCAGAAAATTTAGTTTCCCAGTGATTTAAAAATTATTATAACATCATTATTTCAGATGCAGTTTAAACATTCTTGCTGTTTTTCTGTTCCCATAGCAAAGCATGGGCATTGAACTAGTTATGAAGATATTTCTAACGACAAAATTAAAGCACATATTCTAGGATATAAAGTAGTAAAAATGAACTGAGGTAGTAACAATTATCCATCAAACTAAGAAAATCAAAATCACCTTTTCACAATGTTTGCACTGTAATTCAAAATTCAAATTTCCAGCTGCTGCTTCCGTACTTAACCTTGCACTCTTTGCAATTGACACCCAATCTCTGATAAAGCTTCTGTTCAAGAAACAAACACCATATATGCATGATGTAAAAGAAAAATAAAAGGATACGTAATGCAAAAGATGGGAAGAACTTTACCTAGATTGCGAATCATCTTGCTTACTTTTCATACTCATTAGTGCTTGGATACCACCACAACGGCTGTGACCTACCACTAATACATTCTCTACCTGAATAAAGGAATGTCATTGGGTGATTCAGAATTCATTGTATATGCTCATGTCACTAGAGTTGATAAAAATAGAAAACGTTCAAATATAATCTTCAATACTATATCACAAAATATTCTTGCCTCTAGTGTGTTGACAGCGAACTCCAGTGCAGCGCTAGTCTCTGAAGCACCATGCTGGCATAATAGCATTGTTTACTGTCAAAACTTGCATGGTAAAACTTATATTGGAAATAATAATTCATTTGTCTAAACTTGAACTACCTGATATGGTGGTACCAAATTTGCTATATTACGGACAGTAAATGCTTCCCCGGGCTGAAACCCCAAAACACTTGAAGGACATACCCTAGAATCAGCACAAGCAACCACCATGAACTGCACACCAGAAAAAGGAAATGAGCAATCCCAAAGAACTCAGTAATGTTAATATTAAAGAAATTTGCAACAGCACCATAGTCATTCACCTTTGGTGTTTGCTGCTGAGCAAGATTTTGATAGTTAGAAATATTATCCCTATAAGTCACAAACACAACAAACTCAGTAAACAAAAAAAGTTAGATAGATTACAATGATGCATGATCCACTTACACACAATTCCTGTGCTTGAAGTCCATGAACCTTGCTTTCAACTCCATGAATGGATCATGTTCCCCATCTATCTCATCTACTGTACCATGTTGAAAATCTAAAAGCTGTCGAGTCAAACCAGAATGATCTCTTGAGGCCATTGTGGTACACGGAAAGTCCCTCCTGCAGATGAGAAATTCATCTTACTGGTACAAATTACAATACAGCAACAGAGTATTCATTATTTTGTTCTTCAGACAAATTAAATTAAATAAGGGGACATTACAAAGTTCTTTTTTTTCGAATAAGAGGGCAGGAGGACTGCCTCTTTTTCATTAATAAAGGAGGAGATAAATGATTTATTTACAGGACTAAAAAGTTCTGAAGGCACAAAGATCCAATTAGAAGAGTTTACATGCTCAAACCCATCCTAAGTATCACAAATGCATGGTAAAATTGGAAGGATACCCCACTGCAAAATTATGCCTTATTTTACCCAGTTCATCTGAGATATATAATTCCCGAACTAGAATCTCCTTTCCTCAACCACAACATCACATCCACCCCGGAAGCTGGAATAGCAGAGCCATCAACATTGAGCCACGGGCACAGAGAAAGCGGCTATATAAATTAACAAAAAAACATCAAGCAAGCACGCTGGCCAAACAAAACGGCCTAGCAGATCCACCCAATTAGTTCAGACAATTCTTCAAACATCTAACTTGCGCACTAGATCAGAGATTCGCGGGAGACCGCTGGTGGTTCATGAATAGGAAAAGGGACCAAAAACCGATCAAATAAGACGGATAGTTCCATGATCCAATCAGTCGTCCCAAAAGGCCGTAAAAATTATGGGTTGGATCGATCCTGGGCTTACCGGCTAGATCCTCCCACACGCAGGGAAACGCTGAGCGGCCTCGAACCACCGATCTGACGCACCCCCACAGAAGCCACGAATCAACAAAACGAATCACGAAAAGCCGCAGAGCCAAGAAAATGGGCGGGCGGGTCGGCGAGCTCACCGTCACAGCGGAGCGGCTCCGGCCGGGGCCGTCGGCGGTGGGGGGCGCGAGGTTGAGGCACGGGGAGGCGGGGCGGAGCAGACTAGGAGCCATGTGAGGATGTCCCGGTGCTCGCGCGGGTGGTGGTCGTCGTGGTCGGGGTCTCGGGCATTTGTGGGAGGGAAAAGCTTCGCGCGGCAACGGCCGGGGGGGATTTTACGGGGTAGAGCGAGGCAGCGAGCACGACGGCGATGCGACGGAGAAACCGAGGTCGAGGCAGCGATTTTCTTTTTTAGAAAAATGATAAATTAAGCTGGTGGGGGGCGGAAACTTCGATGATTAACTGGAAGCGGCCGCGTAAAGGTTCACGTGGGGGAAACATCTCGTCCGTCCGTTTGGGATGCGGTGGGAGGATCCTGGCCGTTGGATTCCTCGATACTTGGAGAGTGGGAGTGGTTGTCGTGGGCCCATGTGCTGGGGCCCATTAGAGGCATGGGCCGCATGACTATCGAGTTGCGCTGTGTGGGCGCGTGGAAAACTCAAAACTGGGCAATCCAAAAGATACGAGCGATCAAGCACTCAAGCTGGTGTCTCACTGCAGCTTGAAAGCAAAAACTTTGAACTATAGCTCACCGATGGATTGGACGACGAGACGGCGGCTGCTCGCCGGCGGCAGGGACGCCGTCGTCGTGTCCGGTGGCGCGCCGCAAGTGCTGGAGCGCTGCGTCTTCAGGTGGACATGGCTGAGGAGGCATCGGCGCAGGTGGTGGCGAGTGAGCGACCGAAGCTGGAGCTGCGCGTGCGGCGGCGGCGGCAGCAGCCAAGCGCCGAGCTGCTGATCGCAAGGGCCAGGTGACCATAGAACACAGCAAGCTCCAGCCAGAAATGGCGCACCCTCCCCTGCCCCCAGGAAGAGCTAACCAAATAGCCAATAGGAAGGGAAGAAAAACTCCAACAGTACAATTGTTCGACGTGTATGATGGAGATTTGCCCTATCAAAATATTTAGGCGAAATTATTGCCTATCTTTAATCAAAAAAACAAGAAGGAAACGAAACGAAACGAAGCGATCGAAAAGAACAGGTTTGTTTGGCTTGGAGTTGGTTGCTTGGGGCCGTCGGAAGGCGAGAGACCTCGAGAGGGAAAGCAAGACAGTCCCGTACAGATAGGATAGCAGTGTGTCTGACTCACATGATTATCCTCACTCGCACGGTTGCACTTCCGCTTTGACACGGAACTGCACCGAACGTGTGATGTGGTTTTTCTTTTATTTTTTTTCCTTAGCACGAGCAGGGCGCCCTCCCCACTCCCCAGCAATCTTGGAGAAGAATAGACACGCACACTGTGCGCGCGGTCGTGCGGACGAAGGCCCAGCTGGGTATCGCTGCAACTGGTAATCCTTTTTTCCCAATAAAATTCGGTGGGGGCAAACATGCGCGCGGCTCCGTGGCCCGGAGGACGCCACGTGAGTACGCGACGTAGAGGGAAACCACCCGTGCTCTCCCAGCCGCTCGGCATCTCGCTAGTGGGGTGGGAGTGGGAGAGTGGGACACGCTGGTTGGGAGCGACGGACCGGAGCCGAGCTGTCCCGGGGTAATTAAGAGCAGGTTTAATAGTACAATAGCTAGGCTCTAATACTATACATATCTATCTATCTATCTATCTATCTATCTATCTATCTATCTATCTATTATATTATTAAAACAGCTTTAAAAGAAGACACCACATTTGCTATGAGAGCTAGAAATTCCCACATTAATCGAAGAAAAAGAAAAGGAGAATCCAAGTAGGAATACAATTTAAAAATAGCTGAAATTCGGAGTTAAAAATAAGAAATATTGAAAAAAGAGTCCATATAAGAACCCAATACGAGATTAATTAACATTCAGAATAAAAATAAAAATAAAATCCAAAATTAGCACAACGAAAAGAAGAGTTCAAGTAGGAATTAAAAATAAGAAATATTGAAAGAAAAATCCATATAAGAACCCAATACGAGATTAATTAAAATTCAGAATAAAAATAAAATAATATCCAAAACTAGAAAAATTAAAAGAGAGTTCAAGTAGGAATACAATTTTGACACAACTGAAATTCAGAAATAAAAAATAAAAATATTAAAAGAACACTATACGGTATTAATTAAAATTTGAAAAAAAAAAATCTAAAATTAGAAAAAGAAAAAAGATTTCAACTAGGAATACAATTTATAAATAACTAAAATTAGTGATAACAAATAAGGACTATTGGAAGAAAAGACCATCTAAAACACATGACGAGATTAATTAAGTAATAGGTCTATAAATGATTAGAGTGGTGGCGGTTGATAGGACATCTAAAAACTATTAATAAAACACCAAATAGAATGATGACGGGCATGTCGTGAAGCAACTGGTCAAGGTGGTTGGCGGGTCTTATAGAAAGTAAAACCCAATGATAATCATATTTGATTTTTAAAATCTCAATGACAATAAAAATGAGAGACAGCGGGCGGGTTGTACAGGAGTACAATGGAAGAGCCGCCTATGGTTGGTGGGACTTTTAGAAAGTAAAAAATAAATTCCAACGATAATTATATTCGTTTTTACAATACCAATGACAATAAAGAACAAGCGGCGAACGGGTCGTAGAAGAGTACTGTGGCAGCGTTTGACGAGATTTCTAAAAATTATAAAAAAGAAAATCCAACGAGACAATAAATTATAAAAACTATAAGATCCAATTTTAAAAGGTTCGAGCTTTTGAAAAGTAAAAAAAATAAACACGAATGATAATCATGTTTGATTTTAAAATCTCAATGACAATAAAGAAGTAAGGCAGCGGGTGAGCTGTATTGGAGTATAATGACAAAGTCGCTGACATTTTAGCGGAATTTCTAGGAAGTAAAAAAAACAAAATGATAATTATGTTTGATTTTTATAATGGCAGCATTCGACGAGATTTCTAAAAATTATAAAAATGAAACCTAACTGGACAATAAACTCTAAATAATATAAGATCCAATTTTAAAAGGTTCTAAAGAGAATGAATAGAAACCGTTATAGATCGAGCAAGCAACTAAATAAGGATATGACAAAAGTAACGAGTAGCAAGTGATGTAACTTATCAAAATTATAAAATTAGAAACACGGAAATGATAAGGTTTGGTCTTTCAAACTCTTAATACAACAAGATAATTATTTAATAAATTTTAAGTAAAATCATACAAAAATATATAATTTTGTATGGGTACTAGCCGCGCAATTACGCGGGCCACCCATCTTGTTATATTATTAAGACAGCCTTAAAAGGAGGCACCACGTTAAATAGTGGTAGATCGAGCAAGCAAATAAAAAAAAAAGATGACATAAGGGGTAGCACCTGATGTGACTTTTAAAAAACTATATAATTAGAAACACGGGGATGATAAGATTTGGTCTTTCAAAGTCTTAATACAATGAGATAGCTATTTAATAAATTTTAAGTAAAATCATACCTAAAAAATATATGATTTTGTTTGGATGCTAGCCGCGCAATTGCGTGGGCCACCTAGCTAGTTACGTATTATTTTAATATAAATGGGCCCATCTATCATTAGTTTATGGTAGTAGGGATGCAGCAAACAGTCTCCTTGCGCCGCACCTGTGGGCCCAGCGTCTCGGAGTTCACGTGCAGCCTAGCGCTTATTTAGTCGTCCGCTAGCGTTCTCTCACTGTCCTTCTCTCCTCTAGCACAGCATGCATGCGAGCCAACGTGGATACACTACCGCCGACGGATGAATCTTTATTGTACCTGCTCTAATTGGTCGCGCGCCGAGAAAACGGCAGGAGCCCAGGGGCGGAGCAGGGAACCGGTGATTTTACATCGAGGAAGCGACCGCCGCGCCACGACATTTCCAGCGGGGACGGAGGATCTGCCTTGGATGCTGAATCTATCTAGTATGAAGGGGGCATCGATGACTACTGCAGTCCAGCTGTTCTAGAGTCTCGGCAGTCTGTCTAGACGTTGGCGAAGGCCGAGCGGGCTGGGCCAGGTTGGCGGTTGGCCCAGCTACGATAATAATCACCGTGTAGCTAACTGTTCCAGGTTGGTTCACTTGCCCTGCTCATTTTCAAGACTTTTTAAACAAGTTTCAATTGCTTTAGGAGTGTTTTGATCCCGCGCGTAAAATTTTAGCGTGTCACATCGGGTATTATATAGGGTGTCGCATGAGGTGTCCGAGCACAAATAAAAAACTAATTACAGAATCCGTCAGTAAACCGCGAGACGAATTTATTAAGCCTAATTAATTCGTCATTAGTAAATATTTACTGTAGCACCACATTGTCAAATCATGGAGCAATTAGGCTTAAAACATTCGTCTCGTAAATTAGTCGCAATCTCTGAATTAATTATTTTTTAGCCTATATTTAATGTGATATGGTGTAAAATTTGTGTGGGAACTAAACAAGGCCTAAGAAGGATTTGTCAAACTGAAACTGCTGATAAAGCTCAACTCAAATCTGACAGCATAATATCAACGGGAATTAGGCAACTGTCAATCAACGTTGCGTAGCCAAGCTTGGATTATATTTATCCTTTTTCCTCTCCTCCAGGCTCCAGACAAGCAGTCCTGACTCCTGAACTCCCAATTGCAGGATATTGATTCTCTAGAATAGTTGGGCCTAGCCCAATTACATGCCATACCATGGTTCCTGCTCTAGCAAATCCAAATTGGAGAAAGTCCATTTTGCTTCCCTGAACTATGGGCAAGTTTGGTTCCTGTCCCTTAGCGTAAAATAGGATATAGTCTCCCTCAATCGTTAAAACCGGTTTAAATTACCTCCTTGGATGGTTTTGATGGTGTTTTCGTCCTTCGCGGCATCCATTTAGCACTTTGACTTAATCTTCCATGTGATGTGACGCTTACATGGCATTCCACAATATGAAAAAATAGACAGGCCCACATGTAAGTCTTAGGAAAAAAGTAAAAAGAAATTGGAGCCCACATGCCATCCTCTCTCCTCTCATGCCAGTAAGCACTAGGTTATCTTCCTCTCTTATCTCATCCAACCAGCAGCATCTCTGATACGGAGAAAGACTAGCTAAAGGGAGGAAGGGGGTATCGGCCTAATCACTCTTCTTTGGTCCCCTCTATAGATGACCAAAAGGTCTGCCCGGCACGGCACGGCCACGCACGGCCCACCAGCCATCGGGCCGGCACGGCCCGATCGGCACTTCGTGTCGGGCCGTGCCGGCCCATGGGCTGTGCCTCCCACCCAGGCACGGCCCACCAGCCGTCGGGCCGTGCCGGGCCAGCCCGAAGGTGCGGGTGGCCCATCATGCCTTTTTTAAAATAAGTCTATTTTCCGTCCCTCCACTTTGGCCTGTGACATATATATCGACAATAAGTCTATTTTCCATCCCTCCACTTTGGGCTGTGACATATATATAGTGAAAATAAGTCTATTTTCCATCCCTCCTCTTTGGGCTGACATACATATAGCTAAAGTAAGTCTATTTTACGTCCCTATTATTTCGACCGTGGCATATAATATGTCTATTTTTACTCCCTATTGTTTATGTGTCGGGCCTGGCCTGCGTCCCATTATACCGTGCCAGGCCGGCCCAACGTGCCGGTGGAGAGGCCCAGGCATGGCCCGGTGGTCGGGCCGGGCCGGCACGGGCCCGACTCCTGACGGGCAGTGCTGTGCTTGGGCCGGGCCAAAACGTCGTGCTGTGGGTCGGTCCGTCAGGCTTCGGGCTTTTTGGCCATCTATAGTCCCCTCTACGAGACTATGACGGCCGCCAGCTTCCAATCTGCCTTCTTGACTTTGGTGACCGCGGTAGCTAGCCATCTTGGGTAGATGTCTCGGGTGACAATCTCATCCATCTCCCTTTTTTCCGGTCAATGGTGACAAGCTAGCAGCAAACCCTACCTAGGTCCGCATTCGAGCGGCTGGCACGCAAAACGTGGAAAGAGCGAAGAGCTTGGCGAATGAGAAGCAACAGTACACAGTGATCCACTCCACCGCGTCCCTCCTATAATCTCCTAATAGCATGGCTAAAGCTCCTTGACCACACATGGAAACCTTCAGGAAAGGTGGAAAGAGATGGGGAAGAGAAGGAAGGGTGTAGGAAGAGTGATCACTGATTTGTGGGTTTTATTGGTTCATAATATATCTTATTTTCTCAC